AGCAAGTTTTTTGTAAAATAATCGAAAATTTATTGGAGGAAGAACCCAGAATCGGGAATCCACGACATTGAATTTCTTCATGACAGAGTCCAAACCCGCACGCCCTGAAGAGTATAGGGGTTTTCGTGATAAAGAGAAAGTTCATGTTTTTTCACATTAACAATATTCGCCAGATCTTTGCCCTTTGGACTTGTTTTTATTTCCAAACTTGAAAAAAACACCTTTCAGAAGGAAGAAACAAGTCCAGGAAATCATAGGTTTCCTGCCATTTTCCAGTATACTAAGGGTTATACTCTAATATGAGTTCTAAAAACAATCAGAAATTGGTTAAAAAATGTAACGGACATGTGTTTTAATTAAAAGAGATTAATAAGTAAAATCGTGAAGACTAAATCATTGAAAAGCGTCTTTTGCTTCTTTGCGAGCACCGAGGACATAATTTATTAAACAGCCCTCGTATTTCTCTTATATCAGACTCTGTGATAAAACGTCATATCATCTACACGTATTTCAGTATAGCCAGACCATATAATTTTTTTTTTTATTTTTTGGATTTAAAACCTCCAATAAAGAAAAGAATTAATCAGACAAAATGAGGAAATGTGTATTTGGGTACTCCTGAATAAATTTCCTTTTCATATTTATTGTTATTTAGAAAATATATCAAAGTCCTGTATCATTTTAAAGTGCTCTTAACCCAATTCTTCTCATCAGCATTCCACTCCATATATTTCATCTGACAAAAATAATATAGATAGAAGTACTTATAACTGAATTAGTTTTGTCCGTGAGGAAATTTTACATTAACGATTTCTGTGCTTAAATTTCAATAATTCAATGAAGACTTAGATTAAGTACAATTAGCCTTTTGAAGCTGGAAGTGTCTCATCAAAGATGAATAATAGTTACTTAATTCATTCTTGAACATTTTTTTCCTCTTTTTTTTTTTTTTAGTTATCCAAAAACTGTTAACTGTACCATTTTCGAAAAGTCTTGCATTTCAGTTGGTTATTAATCTTTAAAAACTCAGGAAAAAGCTACTATAAAAAAAATTATCGAAGAATTCGAATAATAATGCTGAGTGAAACAAGATCTGTATCCTTTATGACTTTTTTTTTATTTCTTACCAATGACCTTTGACTCATGAGTAGATTTATTTAAAATTTCACAATCATTAACAATGCCACTGGATAAATGTTCTTTGTAAATTTAAATAATCATTTAAAAATCATGGCAAAATCAACCCTCGGCACTATTAAATCTATTAAATCTGTAAGCTTGTAAAAAAAAATCCAATAAAAATACCGATTTCTTAATACAAAGAGAAAATTGGAAGTGTTAACGCAAACTGAAAATAAATTTTATGGACGTAACTCTCTCACGGGAAATTCCAATAACTCTATAAAAGTAATATGAAAATTTTGCTACCTTCAACCTAGTTGAATTCCAACTTCATGGGAGGGAAAACTTTTCATTGTGTTACATAGCTATTCAATGATTGTATATTAAAAGTACATATTTGTGGTTGACACTTTATTCAACAAGAAACATCTTGATGGTAAACATGTTCCATATTACCTTTATCACAATAGCAGGTATGATGGTGACTTGTAAGGAATGGCTCTATATTAACTTATTCATATTATCTATTATTATATTGCCCACCTTTAAACTTTTATAGAAAAAACAAAACATCTTTTGTATTTCACTTATTTCTTTGCAAAGTTTTTCAAACCTTTCCCTGAAATAAGATTTATGCGAAGTAGTACAAATCACTACTTATGTGAATGTAAAACTGTATATTCATGTACATGTATTTCTGTTTTCAATATAATATATCAAAACAATCTCGTACAGTGCAATTTCAAGCCAGGAAAATATTGTGAATTACTTTATTTTTTTATCCTGCAAAGATTATTATAGAGCAGAGATTGTTTTAGGTAAAATATCTCCGATTTCATGACTTAAACTTCCCTAATATATTGTTTTAATGGATTTGTTATAAAGGATACAATATACACCTTATGTTTCCAGTGAATCTTTTTAAAGCACTTGTTTAAATATAAAATACATATCTTAAAATAGCATTTAACAGGGAACTTAAAACTTAGCTTAAACGCTAGCGCTGCATATTTTAGATATGAACATATAACTTCATTGACTAAGTAGTTTGATTTAAGTGTAAAATCAATCTATCGGGATAACGAAAACAGTATTCAAGCTCAAACGTCCATTCAAACAATACAATTATGAAAGAGAGCAAACAAGGACTTTTAAACATCAGAGGTGGGATCAGGTGTCATGAAGGAGTGAGCATCCCCTGCCAATCGGTCACACCCGCCATATGCTCCCTGTCATGTCGGGAAATAACGGAAAATTCTAGACAATTCAGTGTACAATTAAGGACCAAACAAAGTCAATCAGTTTTTGACTTAGTGATAGATTGCATTTACTTACAATGTCATTGTATCGATCATAGAATTGCGAAATGATGACGTTGAACGAGAATTTAATATGGAATTCATTCTGCAACAATTTTACATAAAAAATACTTTCTTGAATATTACATAGGCTGATAGTTTTTATAGAAATGATGACATATTTATGAGACAATTAATGTGGTTGGAAAAAATTATTTGTTGCAAACATAATTATGAAAACTATTTCTGACGGCCTTTCAAAAGGATTTATTAAAATAAAATGAAATGAAACAGAATAATGTAATTTAAAATTTGTTTTAAGACAATCGTTCATTTCAGTTTTTAGATAAACAATTAATTTTCTTTCCAAAACTCAGACAAACAAAACAAACCATGAAGACGAATTTAAAAATTAAATAAAATGTTAACAGACGTAAATGGTAGGGAAATAAAAAATCGGAATATACCCGATTATGTTTCCTTGATCATTTTTATCATTTCGGCTTTTATAGAGCTTCTTATGATTCAAACAATACAAATTCTATTTTGAAAAGCCCTTGACCTAGTCTACCTATACTAAGTGGGCGCTTATCACGGCACAGACGATTTAAAATTTCCTATTTAAACTTCCCATCACGATGTACAATTAATTGTTTCCTTCCCATTCAGAAGATATTAATTGAAACTTTGGGAACACATTTTCTTCACCAATTAAATTAATTGAATATAACAGTTCCCCTTCTACATTCTACACTTCTTATGGCTTATTTATCACAGACTCCACATAAAAACAACAGTGAACTTAATGTTTCCTAATTATTTATTTCTTGGGTTTGGCATTTAATGGCCACGGCTGGTTCAAATCAATTTATGCAAAATACACGTGTACAGTGGGTGCCGACCCAATTGGTTTTTGGCACACCTCCAATAAAAGCAATCAAACAAACAAACAAACAATCAATCAATCAATATTAACTGTACACATGTCAAAGTTTTACAGGATAAGACTTAACGTTTAGCTTCAAAGTTCCTGCATTGCGTCAAAAGCCTTATGCGTCAATCAATATTCATCAATCAATGTTCAATTTTTACGATCAATTAATGTTCAATTCAATCAATGAATGTTCAATTCGATCAATAATATTCAATTAGATCAATCAATGTTCAAACAATATTCAACAAATCAATATTCAGTTCATTCAGATCGATGTATTGTATGCTCATGTTAAGCCAATCAATATTCGAATAAATCAATCAATGTTCAATGTAAATTATGTACAAGTTCCTTGTATTCCATTCCATAATTATCCACGCAATCATGTTTGAGTTGCGCCCTGTTAACAACGGCGCAAGTCAAGATGATATGTGTTAAGCTAAATCCGCCTTTTTATTTATCACACTTATATTTCTTTAAATCTGCTCAAGACGCATCATTTGTTTTATAAATTTTGTTTTGGTTTATTCTATTTTGCCATATTTCAAAAATGTATTAAAATTCTGCATTTTCCTTCCTCTTTTTTTCATGTTTGCATTCTATTCCATTGAATCTTGGAATATATTAAACCTTTTGCACGTCTTTTCAGAAATCTTCAGATAAAGTTAACTGTTAATTTTTAATTGACAATATCTTCTTTTAAGGGATTTCGTTCATTATTTAATGTGATGGCTTCCTTTTTCATTCGTCAATGCTCCTTTTTAGGGTCACATATTTTTCTCATTTCTATCTCGATACGATATATATCCCGATTAGCCTGAAATAAAAGATACCACAAAGTCTAACACATCTTTTGCCAATAATGACAAGGAGCACACGGTGGGTGTGACCGTTCGACAGTGGATTCTTATATCTCAATGGAACCTGATCCTATCTCTGACGTTTTGGAGATCCAATGTTTGCTCTGCTCAAATTTTGTATTGTTTAATGGACTTTTGAGCTTATTTACTGTTCGTTATTTCCATATATTTCATCAGTCAGCATAAGTGGTAACAACTCACAGACCACCATCACGAAATAGGTTTTCCACATTTAGGAAAGGAGAATTTTTGTTCGCTTGTCAATATTTTTTCACTTGGGTGGACCCAGATACATGTACCCCCACCCCTAAACCGTGAAAAATTTCAGTGAAAAGTCAAAAAACTTGCAAAATGATGAATTCAAACGAGGCTGTTCTTATCCTTCTTTCATCAACTTGTTGGTCAATTGTTTGCCTTGTTTTTAAAATTATTCGATTTTCTATTTTTTTTTATCTATATTCCCGTTTTATCGTCAAAATATTTTTTAAATTCTGCAAAAATTTCTATTATAAAAGCATTGCTATGAATTCTATTTTATCTTTGCCAAAATAATAATTATAAAAACAACAAATAAAAAACTTTTTTACAGGTATAGTTAAACTCTTGAAGTATCTACATATAACTACTAGTATATAAAAGTGAAATATCTACTTTAAAATAATTGAAAACACATTGAATCCTTTTTTAAATTATTAATTAATACAAATTTGTAAGAGGGAGAGCAAAAAAAAAAAAATAGAATATAGAATCTTTGAAATGGTTACATAAATACGACTATATGTGGATTAATTGTTCATTGTAAATTAAACAAATAACTCTATGAATTGACCGTTTAAAATGTGTACGCTCTTCAATCTACATAAAAAAAATATATAAGTAAAAATCCAAAGAAACTTAACAGGCTTAATTGTTGTGGGAGTATAGGCTAAGAGTGATAACTTCTATAAAATTGTCTTATAGATAATGGCATCTTTCTTGTATTTTTGTAGTTGCTGTTTCAACAGTAGTCCCATTTGCGCTGGAAATCTGTAATACTCCACAGAATAGATATGATCCAAACACTCAGGTCTGCTGCAACAATACAATCATCAGAAAACAGAAGTCCGAGTCATGTTGCCAGGGAGCAGGTATATCTTGAACTATAATCAATGTTTTGTCAATGTTTTCTTCAAATACGTATCATGCATTAAGCATTTGCACTAATAAATTGTAGCTGAAATGTATGACGAAAGTTCCCAGATCTGCTGTGGAGAGAGGATTCTCGAAAAATGGAGCAATGGTATGGAAAGAAGATGCTGCGGCAGTCGTCTTATTAATGTTACCCGTAAGTCGGAAATAATATATACCTACTTTCATAGACATTAAAAACAAATATATTTGTATTGCTTTTACTTCATTCTTTCAAAAATTGGAAGAAACTCTTTAAATTGGGTTTATTATAATATTTTAAAGAAAACATAGATTGTTGTGGTGAAGAAGAAATGAACATGACCACCCATTTCTGTTGTATAAATCAAACGTCCCTAAAATCTGACAGTATGGACTGTTGTTTTGCTGAGCCTTATAATAAAACCACTCACCACTGTGTAGATGATGAGGTATTACCTGTAAACAACAATAAATGTGGTGCTGTTATATACGACACAAAGTCCTCTATGAAGTGTTGTAATGAGAAACTCCACAACACATCAGCATTCAATGTCTCAACTGAATGCTGTGGGACGGAGCTTTACTCGATACAACATCAAAAATGCTGCAAAGGGCCCTGGCTTCCAATTCCTAAAGAAAATGAGTGTTGCGGACAAGGTATAGCAAAAGTTACTCCTTGTACATATACATTTGATTAAAGTGCACGTACAGTTGTTTTTTAACTTTTCTGTTTTTCACAATAACCTTTTTAGTTTAATTACTGTTTGTTAGCTCCATATTTTATATAAATGGCATTAAAGGTTCCATAAATATCGCCACTCACATCTGCTGCGCTGGGGAGGGGCATCTGCGATCCTCGACACAAACAGCCTGCTGCGGGAAGACGACGTTTGATAAAACCTTACAGGGTTGTTGTGGTATTGATGTCTACAATAAAACGAAGGAGAAATGTTTTGGTACGTAACAACAGAAAGTAATATGAATTCACTAAATTTTGTAATAGAATAATTAGGATTTTTTCGCGGGATAACGAGCCTCATGAAGCAGATCAACCCCTAGTCAGGTTAAAGATATCGTCAATAGGCATCTCATATAGGATTATTGATATAAATATGTTTGATTAAATCATAAAGTTTTGAGGAAGATTATCAATGTTTATTTATCATAATATTGTGCTTTTATCTTTTTTTACAGATGAAAAAATCCAAGCAATTCTTGAACATCCTTATGATGGAACCGATGCAACGTCTTTACATCTGAACCCAGCATACGGAATCTGTCAAATATGTAACAGGAACATATCCTCCTTTCTGGGCCTTATTAGGTCGGAAGACGTCTCAGTTTGCAACAAGAAAGGTCCATTTTTTTCTTCCATTTTCTTTGTTTGTAGTTATTCTTTCTGATAGAATAGATAATTAATAATATTTTATAATGTATAAAATTTATTCTTTATTTCAGTTTTCAAGATATACATTACAACAAGCACAGAAAATGAATTATATAGGATTTTAAATGTTGAAGTTAAAGACATGGAAAACAAAACTGAAAAGCACGAAAAAACTGAGCTAAAGGTATTGGTACCGTGTAAGTGTAAAAGACTGGATTCCAAATTACAAGAGTACATACTTTTAACCCACGGTACGATCACTGTTGGGAGACTATTGCGGTTGGGAGATACCGACTTTTTATTGCCATTTAAAAAAGATACATACAAGATAATAGAGAGAAAACAAAATAAATGTAACGAGAAAAACCGACAAAAATTTGTCGATGAGATGAGAAAGAGAATGAAAAAGATGGCAAATAAATTGTTAAGTGAACTTTTGCGTCTAAACATTCATTAGCAAGCTAAATCTACTTGACTTTTTTGCCTGTTTGTTTTTGTTTTGATTGTTTTGTATTCGTTAATTATCATTGTTGTAAATGATGGGCAGAATGGCGTATTTTGCCCAATTTCTCATTTTGATTGGTATGAACTCACTGTATGTTTACATCCATTGCGCTTTCGGGTCTCGGGACCAGGATTATTAATCCCGAGCCGTCTTACTGCATGTGCTTGCTACTACAGTATTTTTAATTTTTTGTTATATTTTTTTATATACTTTTTATTTTTATATGCATGCACACCTTTTTTAAAATTATTGTCTCAGGTTAATATTTTTCCGTTGTTAATTTACGTAAGTAACCAATAGCATGTGTAAATGATTACTTATATTGTATTGCTTAACTACTGAATTTGTTTTGAATGTGTTAAATAAATTTGTTTTGTAATTTATGTGTTTCCATAATTATAAGAGAATTTTTTTCAACGGATTTTTGTCCGTCCACTCTTAAAACCTGAAACAGACAGGCAAAGCTACCAGGTGTATGATTACGCCTTCTATAAACTCATATTCGGGAGAACTAATATGGGAAGACATAACAATCATTTGCAGAAGAGTGCGGCATAATTCTACACAAATGAGGAATGTTGATGAAGGAAAAGTTGAAGTTATCACATTTATCATAAAGTTTTGTTTTAAGGTCACTAAGACATCATATATTATATATGCACTCTGTAAAAATCTGTGGTCCTTGATGACACTCTGTCAAAGTGCTGACATGCTTATTATTGACCTTCTTGCAAAATCATGATATTTATTACCTCAGGTCCACGGCTCAGGCTTAAAGCTTGGATTTATTTGGAAATATATTGAAACTGGTCCTAAATTTAATGATATGTCCTTCAACTCAACATTTTGATATATCGACGACGTATTGTCAATTAACAATGGTAATTTCCATTCCTATGTCAATATGATATATCCTGGTGAACTTGAGATAAAAGATACCACAGTCAGAGTCTGACATAAGTTTATCATACTTGGATATTTTACTTGAAAAAGACGTTAATGGTGATATAACAATCAAGATCTATGATAAACGTAATAACTTCAACTTTTCTATCGTCAACTTCCCTTACTTAATTATGCAGCAATATACCTTCATCAGCTGCATACGGAGTTTATATATCTCACTTGATTCGATACGCAAGAACATGCTCTACGTATGATCAATTTCTAAAACGAGGTAAATTATTGACAAACAAGTTGATGAAACAAGAATTTCAGCAGTTTTGTTTAAAGTCATTTCGTAAGTTCTACGGTCGATACAATGACCTTGTCAGCGAATACAATTTATATATGAGTCAAATGCTGTCAGACGTTTTTTCATACTAATTGTTAGTCCATTATTTATACATTGAATTGACGACGGATTTGTCCGTCATTTCCCGATGATGACAAGGAGCATACGGCGGGTGACCGGTCAGCAGGGGATGCTAACTCCTCCATGGCACCTGATCCCACTTCTAATGTTTCGGAGGTCCGTGTTTGCTCTGCTCCTGTTTTGTATAATTTTACGGACTTTTGATCTTAAATACTGTTTGTTATCTCCAAATGTTTTATCTTTTAATATTAATACATAAGCAATTTCGCTGCATATGATCCACATATACATTGCCTTTCATACGAGGATCATATATGGATCATATGTGGCGAAGTTGCCTGTATATCTAACAGAAAAAAAACTTTCTTGCATGATTCTGTCAATTACTCAACCTTTCACCAACATTGTGAATTTCATACCGAAAGTTCTATCCCTAGTTGAGTCATTTCGGGCATGTCATCAAACTACACTAAATTTCTAAAAATCTTTACTTGTTTGTTTGTTTGTTTAATTAATCTCTTTGGAGAATTTCACTCAATTCGAAACGGCACAACTTGTTTGTGGGCATATACTCCGCATTTTTGACATTTGAACAACGAAGGATCTTTTATCGTCCAGCACCTATGTCCCTCGATTTATAAGGTCCTATCTGAAGAATCAGTCTCCATGTCCCCCCAGTGGGATTCGAACCCGCATTAATTAATGCTCTAAAGGAAACGCTCTAATCTCCGTACAAAGCAGGAAACTCTTTACTCGTGAAGATACCCTGTATATTTCTTTTATTGTAAAAGTTAGACCCTCAACTAATGAAACAAGTCCCAAAGATCAGCTGGTCGTATATCAGAAACTTTTTTTTTTTACATTTGTTACCTATTTTATTATATATTTGAAAATCTAAAAGTGAAGCCTTTTCAGGGGGCACCATAAGGACAAACCGATTAAATTTTAAAGAGTTTATAACCTTTAGATAAAAGATGTAACTTTAATTCTAACGACCCAGGTAAAGGATATGGTCATAGAGTGACTGAACATACTGAATAAATTACAATTTTTTTTCTATTTTCAAAACATCTACCAGTCAACCTGTGTGATTATACGAAGTTGTTCTTCAAAAGGATTGAACAAACCTTTATATTTTATCAAAGTTAAATCAATCACACCATCAAGCTGATAAAAGTAATTCTTGGAGCCCAAAATTGAAGAGTTTAATTCAAGCAAGATTTTTTTTTTACTGTTCATTAAAGATTCTTTTTTGTGTTTCATATTTTGTCATGGTTCATTTTTTTTAATTTGGTGAAAAGATTACTATTTCAAGATAATAAGGACGAAGAGATTTATTTTTTTCTGATTTGAACTTTACATTTCCTTTTTTTTTTTTTTTTTTTTTTTTTTTTTTGACGAAATGCAAACCTGTAGAAACCAATTCGAAAACCCAGAATATTACATAATACAGAAATCCACTCAAATAGACGTTACAAAAGTCCACTGTCATCAAGAAATGCGTGATAATAAAGTAGGAAATATTAGTAACAAAACAACAATGATTCCAAATTAAAATTTATCAAGTTAAAAATAATCTTGTAAACGTTTTATTTATCAAGGAAAACAAGTTACCAAACATATTCAATTAAAATTTTAATTATGCTATCGGACTGCAAAATTGACTTTCGTATAAATCTGCAATCTTTATATGAAAAGCAACCTCTCGAAACTTCTTTTAGAATCCAAGAAATACTCGTTGGCGAGAAAATCTTTTGGACACCAATTGAGTTTTGAGGGTTTTTTTCTGAGCCTCTCTTTCCAAAGTCGCTTAAGATTACATAATGGTCTTTTTTTAATGAAAGTTAGAGCGTAATATTACGCTTTGAAAAGCCTGAAAAAAAGTAATAGAGGAAAAATCATTCTTGTAAAGTTGAATATATAGCACTTTCCTTTTTTAACAACCAGATTCTATTAGATCTCTTTATCTGTTTCATATATTCTCCTTGAACATAATGTGAAAGATACCTCAGAGTCTGACAAATCTGATATTTTACTTGAAAACACATTATTGGCAAATTAATAACAGCTAAACAAAATAACTTAAACTTTTCTATTCTCAAGTTCCCTTCTTTTTGTAGCAATATACAATTTTTTGGTAATCTTTTTCCCGAATTTACAAATCCCAGTTGCGTAACACACAAGAGTATATTCTATATAAACACTTTTTAAAATGAGGCAAGCTACTGATAAAATAAATTTATGGTATAAGTATATCAATAGTCCTACTTGAATTCAGCTTTTCACACATTCTTTGGTCTAAAAATGATTTCGAAAATCTAATCTATCGTTAAATCGAATATGACATATTTTTCATACAAATCGTTAGGCCGCATTTTTTGGATTGAATTTTTTTTTTAAGTTGCTTGATTATTACAAGGACTACACGTAGGGTATGACAGTCCACAGATAATGCTTAATCTTCCATTGTACCAAATCCCGCCTTGTTCTTGATAAAAGATAAATATAAGTTCATCTATTGTGAAAATTACATAAAATAGTCAAGGAATTGGCTAACATGCTTCATTTGTATAATAAAGAAATGGTGACGAAGTACATGTATAATTGGAATTGTAAAAAAAAGATATAGCATGTTATTTCATTTCAAATCTATTTAGTCAAAAGAATAAAATTCTACTAGCAATTGGCTGTCGTGTATGACATGTCATATTCTCTTATATAATGCTATGATTTTTTCTTTTTGTTGAATTGTTTTAATGAACTTTTTGGACATTTTAACATTTCTGTCCATAAATAATTTCATCAACACTGGTTGAATATTGAGGAACGATGTGGCAATATGGAAAACAATTTGAAAATAACTTAGAGCTTCCTTTTATAATTCAGATAACACCAAAACTACTTCCGTTGTTTTGTTGATTTTTTTTTAATTATGATACTTAACTCGGAAAGTATTATTTTACGAGGAAAGTATTTAGTCAATAACATGAAATATACATGAAATCTTCAGAAATCATCATATCATTATTTTTTTCCTTTTTAGAACACTGAAATATGCCTTAAAAACAAAGAGAAAAATAATACAAGTATTGTAGAAATGTGATTCATGTAATTGTTATTAAACCTTAACTTTAACATTGAGAATCGATTCAAATGTGCGTATTCATTGATCGAAAATATAGTTTTTCTTTTTAAATAGCAGCTTCCACTTAAATTAAATGTTCAGTAAGAGCTTTCGATATTTCAATGTAATTGGACACTTAACAACATTAATGCATTTCCCTTCAATAACTTTTTAATAAGTATATTTTGTTGATGTTATTTAAAAAAAGAAAAAAGTGATTACAAAATGGAAATCCCTAATCTACTGGAAAAATAAATGAAAGTCAAATTGTCCACTAAAAAGTTATCATGATTTTTGAACGCACAAAGTAAAAAGAGAAATCCTTTTATTAGAGTATTGTTAGACTGGAAACTTTTTAAGGCCTAAAAAGTCCAAAAAAGATATATATCCGATCCCAAACTTATCTTCAGTACTTAATTCAAGAGAGCCTCATGGTAAACATGCGCCACCTAATGCTTCGCACAATAACAGGTATGAGGGTGTACTAAGGTCTATACATTTATACACTATCACCAAGACAAGCCATTTTACTATTAATTAAGAGAATTATGTCCTTTCTTACTATAGATTTGCATATTTTTTTAACTACGTTATCTCTAAAAATGATATTTTTATCACTATTTTGGTACTGGTGTAGAAGTAAAATAAAATGATAACAGAACAGCAGTAGATTCATTCGTATATATTCTTGAATTTCTTTATTTCGAGAATACTGCAGACTAAGAAGTTTTATTTTATCCTACTGATTATGTTTTCCAATTTAAACGCCTAATCTTAACATTAAAATGACCATAGTGAAGTCTTCATGACTACATATAACAAATCCGTTGGATTCAGCAAATTTAATTTATCTTAGAGCATTATTTACACACTGAATTGTCCTCAGTTTTTTTTTTCCATTTACCCGATTATAAAATGGAGCACATTGGGAATGTGACCAATAGACAGGAGTAAACTTACTCCTCCATGGCACCTGATCCCACCATTCATGTTTTTGAGGTGCTCCCAATTTGTAATATGCAACATATACTTTTAATAGGTTAAGTATCTTTGATGGACATTTACTTTCAAGGGCGGGTTGTCATTTTTGTTCGATCTATTTCTCTAACGGTGTCTCGACCTATGTTACCCATAAAACATAGATGTTAAGGGTCCAGACACACGCAAGGAAATATTCAGTTGGAATATTCAGGGCCATGCTTCCTTGTCATGAGTGTATTATTTATATTTGACACGATCATGATTGTTTACAAACAAATTGCATTTAGAATGCACTTGGCCTAGTTAAATTTAAATAGTATTATAGACCTCTTACCCCAGTACAAAATAATTGACATAAAGTATCCTCTTCACCGTTGTAAAATATTCTGCTTAGATTTAAAGTTATTGTGTTATTTTTTTTTATCATAAAATCTTATTAGTCGTCTTAAATATGTTCTCTTTTCTAATTTTTAAATCATTCATTTAAGTACAACTCAGTATTAATTGTCAAACATCTAATTTAGGATATGTGATATACCTATATATAGAATACAAACAATATTGGATCCACGCTCTGTCATCTTTCGGGTTTTACTTTGCGGTGAATATAGGGGTTTAAATATATCTCTGTTGTTTTATATTAACAGAATTAGATAACTGGTTACCTAAATCAATGAGTTAGTTTAAAGTATTAAAAAAAAACAGAAAAATTAGAGTGTCTCAAATATATATGTCATGTTACCTATGAGATGTACGAGTATGTCTCTTGACTTCAATAAACTGAACTGAACATGTCGACTTTCCCATAATGATTTTAAATAACATCATTAAATCTAAACAGGTAATAAAAGACGACTTTCTATGCTTTAATCTAGTAGGCATTCAAGGAATCACTGGTCATTTTTCCTTATTTAATGTATAATCTAATTAAATTCTTAGGATAATTATGTATGCATTCAATAGTAATAAAAAACCCTGACTCCTGAAAAGAAACTAGGTTTAAAATATTCTGATTATGGAATAAGATGAGAAATGATAAAATTCCAAAGTAACATGACATGTTTTAATAAGTTTGTAAACAGGACATTTTATTTGTCATGTTTATTTTATTTTCTATCACATTTTAATGTAGCCATATTCTCATCAATAATAAAAATATCTTTATATAATATAAATAAACACTTACTAAGAGTCATACAAAGTATTAATTAGCGTAAGGGCTATTGTTTTAAAGATAGTAAGAAAATCACAATCACAAAAAAGCTCTTAATTCATTATTCCAAAAAAAAAGTTATAGTTGATAAAGAAGAGAAAAATTATTACTAATTTTAGAGACGATCAGATGAACTCTAAAAATGTATTAAAATTTAGAGATTTAACACGTTTTTTTAATATAATTTAAAATACATATTAAGTATGCTAAAGAATCCAAATAAAAGTTAAACACTGAGGTATACAAATATAAAGGATGATTTTAACGTTTGTTATACGAAAATATTTAATGATATAAGTAGTGAAACTTTTTTCGTAAGTGTTGATACAAAGGTAATACGTTTATCAGCACGTGAAGATTATACCAATAATGAATCCAGCACCTCAGTGCCTGCTGTAAGAACGATAACTCCTGATAAAACGCCATGTGTTCTTTTCTTTGTAGTCACTCTGACGATCATAAATACCTGTACTTATGGGAAAGAAATTTGTGATATAAATGGCAATCTGACAACTTATAATCCAAAGATATATACCTGCTGTGGGGGACAACTCTCCAGAAAACAGGAATCAGTGTCCTGCTGTCGAGGTACAGGCTTTTCATTCATTTTTTTAGTTAATGTTTTGGATGTTTAGCAATTCTTTGAGCATTTTATCAGATTTAAAAACAATGAATTTATTGCAGATCAATTATATAACAAAAACTTATATGTCTGTTGTGGAAACGAGCTCCTAGATAAACGGAACAAAGGTGTGGCCAGAAAATGTTGTGGCGACCGTCTACATAATGAAACACGTACGTTAGAGATCATTGCTTTTATTTAGCCAAATCCTGCATCAAAATCTCTATCAAACATTTTACAACTTATGAAAAATTAATATACAAAGATAGACATTAGAAATTGAAGCGATAACGAGAGAGAGAGAGAGAGAGAGAGAAGAGATTATATGTAAAAACAAGTATTTTATTTATGTAGAAAATACGATTTGCTGCGGCGACATTCAAATCAACGCTACAACACATTTCTGTTGTACAAACAAGCCAGTCCTAAAATCTAGTGGAATGGACTGCTGTTTTGATGAGCCCTTCAACCCGACAACTCACCACTGTGTAGATGACATAGTGATTCCGGTGACGGAGGGGAAATGTGGTTCTACTACTTACAATGCGAAATCAAGCATGATATGCTGCGACGAGAAGCTTCACAACACCTCACAGATGAAAGAGCCTGTTGAGTGTTGCGGAAAAGAGCTGTATTCCAAAAACTCACAAAAATGCTGCAAAGCAACCAACTTTCGAGCCCCAAAAGATGAAGACTGTTGCGGACAAGGTATTCCAGAAGTTGACACCTTGATGAAAGACACTATAATTTGATAAAGATACTGTTTATGAATTTTACAAGTTCAGATATTTTTATCTTAATAGGTTCTATTAATTTGTCTTCGCATTTATGCTGCAATGGCGTAAAATATTCCCGGACATCAGCAAATTTAGCGTGTTGTGGGAATCAAACCTATATTAATGGCAGTTCTGAGGATTGTTGTGGTGGTGAAAGAACAGCGGTGTCATAAATTCAATCATGTCATATATAAAATGATATTTTATTGCAGGTGGAGAGACTTTAGCATTACCGACGTGTACATAACAAAACGAAAGAACGTTGTTGTGGTATGTCTTATTCAGGTGTCATAAATTTTAAGTCATGAATATTAATCATATCATATATAAAATGTTATATTTTATTGCAGGTGGAGAGACTTTAGCATTATTGGATGAAGATTGTTGTAGAACCGACGTGTACAGTAAGCAACAACAGTCTTGTTGTAACAAAAACGGCAAATTCATTCTCATCAGTAAAACTTCAAGAGTCGATGGAACTTTAAGAAACGAATCTAATTGCCCAGGCTATCGATTTGCTAAACAATGCGACAAAATACAGCTGAAAGGTCATAAGGAACTGTGTAAATCAAGCACTCAGAAAATCACTGAAAGAAAGAAGACCAGAAATCGAAATCGCCATGGAGTCTGTCGCATATGCAGTCTAAATACCAACTCATTATTGAGACTCATCAAGAAACAAAAGTCGTTAAGTTGCAATAAAAAAGGTGAGTGGTATATGAATAAAGCTCCTGTAAAAATAGGTTGGTGAAGCCAGGATTTCAGAGTCGTTTAAAGTTTTATGGTATTTGTTAGCAAATACAGTCATCATTAAGTCAATGCTGACTGGTGTTTTTTTACTCATTCTAGACCAGTATTTACTCGCTAAATTAACCATGGATATTTCGTTTGTCCGATCCAGACAAGGAAAATGCTTACTCCTTCATGGCACCTGATTACACCTCTTACGTGTTTTCTTGTTCAATGAACTTTTAATCTTGAATTTTCGTTCTTTATCTCAATATTTCATAAACAAAATAAAAGGTTAGAGATATGAGTATTATCACACAATTATTCTTTAAATTAGAAACTTCTTATGAATTTTATTTTTTTAGTTATTCTGTTGGCTGTTGATGCAATCAATAGAGTCGGAAGATACCGGATGCTGAATGTTACAGCTTCGTATCCAAGCCATGCAACAGAAGAAACCGCTGAATTCAAACTGAAAGTACTGCTACCTTGTAGAGAGTGCTCGAAACTTCAAACAAAATCCAAAAGTTATTTGTTACTAACCCAGAGTAGAGTACGTCCTGGTAAACTTCTGCGGTTGGGAGACAGTGATTTCCTCTTCCCAAGCAAATCAAATATAACAGAGATTTCCAGTTGGCAAGCTAAATGTAAAAGTCATAGAAATGTAGATGTCAGAGCACTCAAAGAGAGAATGCGAAAAAGAATTAAAAAGTTTTTGAATAAACTTTTGCGGTTTTAAATTCGATAAACGAAAACTTCTTGATTAAATATATGGAGGCCGTTCGAAGTGAATAGCATGTTAACGGTTTTAAATTAATCCATGTCTTAATTTTAAGTTAAGCTCTATGGAATTTTTTGTATAAATTGCCATCTTCAAAACATCGAAATAAATTGGTTATTTGTTTGCTTAACGTCATTTGAGAAGTTTTCAGTAAAACGGGGACGCTACTTCGAAACAACTAAAAAAATTTACACCTAATAGTCCCTTACACTACAGGTCTTTGAGTGAGAGACCTTTTTCGTACTAACTCCGACTGCGACACGAGACCTCGATTTATACCTTCTCCGATGAGAACATCGATCTCCATTGCTTCTAGTAGGATGGGAAATCAACACCTTACTCCAAGAATCTGAAAAAAATGCTGTAAACCACTGCATCTCCCAGATTATCGTGAAATAAGAAAGTTTCGAACATTTATAATATGATGTCTGGGATGTCTCCTTTTTAGTTAAGTGTATTTCACATCCTTAAACGACTACTGGTATATTAAACAATGAAAACTAATATTTGTCATGGATTTTTTCTGATGTATTTGAGATGATTACTGTAGATTGGCAAATAACCACGATGGTTTTAATTTTTTGTATCGTGAAATTAAAACCATCGCGATTGGTACTTTTTGAGAAATCGTGAAATTTTGACACCGTGGAATTAAAACGATTTACAGTATTCCAATCCAGATAAGCAATTCGATTTAAGTCAAAAATAGTGCATTACTGCTGTTGGGATTTGTGAATCTTATATACTTCTTAACTTATATTAATTTATTCTTAATTCTCTATTCTAAATTAAATACTTAAAAATTTTACATGTACCATTTTTATATTTGCCAATATCGCATGATAAAGCAGGTTTATAGCTGATGTATATTTCAATTACCAATCTGATGAAAATAAAAGATGTTTGTGAAACACTGATGTCCCCTTATTCCAGCATAATTATGGCGAAACTTAAATTGTCTTAAATGAAAGTCACACTCCAATATCAAGATGCAAAAATGTTCCTACTCGAAGAGTATAGAGTCCCTGGAAAAACTGATTTGTTCTTAATACACATACTTTCTTAATATAATTAATAAAGTGGTAGATTGGATATTGACCAATCCTTCAATTTTAAATGCTCAATTTGAAAATTTATTATACCCATCGCTTGAAAAGCAGGGGGAGGGGGTTGGTTGTATAGTAATTGGGATGTCCGTCCGTCCATCTGTTACGCTTTGGGGTACCCATCTCATATCTGCAACTCCTTTCATACCACTGAATGAAATTTGATGAAACTTTCACGGAATCTTTATTATACATATTCCATTGTGCACCTTCTATTTTACTTTTTGATCGGACACATATTTTGGGTTTCCAATAGCAATACATGGACACTGCCATTATTTCATATGGGGAGGCGGGGGGTACCATTTAGTGAGCTCATTTCTTACAGTATACCTCTATATATTTGTGATTTATTTTGTATTACATAAGAAGATCATGTAAGTTGTTATAATTCGTTTTCGAATAATAATTCATGCGTTTTATCATCAAAAATTATTTCTTTCTGACTTCTGTTTTCATGACCACACATTTAATAATGATTATATAATTTTGGAAAATTATTTTTCTTATAAGGTTGATGCATGTTATGTTTTATAAGATTTCTAACATAAAACCACAAGCTTTGATGCGTGGTACCACACAATAGTATTCTGGCAGTTCTTTATTGATAAATTGAGACATCAAACGACAAAAAATATACACTAATACATTATATAATATATGATTTCTATCTAGATTCTCATAAATATTCCATGAATCTGATATTTCCATTTACATGTTTCCAACTGAACATCAAAAAATATGCATGGACATTTAAAATTTATTAATTATTCAAAATATTGATATAAAATGATATATTATCTTTAAAATACACGTTCAAGCAATGATATCATTCCTACATTTGGAGATTTTTAAACGCATAATTATTGATTATAAATTGACTTAATCTTTTTTAAATACTAATGCTAATTTTACATTTTTGTAGGAGTATTAAAATCATATATAAATTTACTTAGATTTGATTAATTCTATCGTAAATAGAGAGTATCAACAATATGACACAAACAGCGTTCTGTTGTGTAGTATTTCTACAATCCTTGCTATTTGGTGAGATTTTACATATCTTTATTTAATTTTGATTTTGACATAATGAATTTCTTCAGTTGTTATTTCTTTTCTTCAGATGATTTCATTAATTTAGAAAAGTATTTCTGTCCTTCTAGATATATCTTATTTTAATATAAATTAAATATACAACTTTATTTAAACTAACTGGTAGATTATTTATTTCTCATTCATCACAAAATTCATATTAAAACAACGAAGAAAGCACGATTCTCACATCATGGGCAAACTTTTATCATCGATTTTAAAAGAGGTATTGACAAGTTTTACATGATTAGAGTTGTTAGAATAAGTCATCAGTATGTCAGATATCTGTATTTTTTTCCCATTATTATTTGATGAATATAAGATATTGATTCCTTTGCGGTAATACCTCACGATATGCTATACCTCATCTTTTAAATGGATTCCATAGTTTAAATATGAACGTTGGTATTGCGACAAATACTTAACTTATTTAGAAACAAAAAAGGGGAAGACCACCCAATTTTGTGTGATATAAATAACTCTTCCACTTTTATAAAATTTCGTATTGTATTATAATGTTATTTCAAAAACAGAAGTCTTTTCTTAGCTTACTTAGAAACAAAAAAGGGGAAAATCACCCAATTTTGTGTGATATAAATAATTCTTCTACTTTTATAAAATTTCGTATTGTATTATAATGTTATTTCAAAACACAAGTCTTTGTCTTAGCTTTCAAGTAACTACCGGTATTTGTAATTCAATAATCGAGTAAAAGCCCACTTATGTATCAATGGGGGGAAACAAATTGTTCGTGTCCTCAAGACACGATATAACACCCTACTCATTATAAACGTTAGAAGGCGGACATAAATTGCTACTCTTAACGAAAGCTGTGGTAGGGTGTCCAGGGAAAAAAAACTACCGAAAAAAGAATTGAAAACACACAGGCGTAATTCAGTTTCCTCATACTCCATGTGTTTATAAAATGTAGTGCCCACAGATTAAAAGAAAAGGGCTTGCGATGATGACTACTAAAACTTGCCCTTTTTCATTAGCATTGTTATTCCTGACAATCTATTGCAAGGGTAATTCAAAAAATATAACATTTTTTGTTCTCGACTTTGAACCCGCTTCTGTGTATAACTGTTTTAACTAAGTGAAACTGCAAACAAAATCAAGATTATTTACCCTAAATTGCCGGCTTTATTGTAGGTATTCAATCCTGTGTTTTCAACGAGGACTGGAATGCACCCTTGATGGGTAGTGGAGATGATATTTGTTGTAAGGAGGGGCATCCGATGAAATTCTACCACACTAGGACAGAAATCTGTTGTAATGGCACTGTTCACAAGAGAGGAGAGAGATCGTGTTGTAATGGTAATCATTTCAAAGTCTGTACAAAATATTTCAAAGAATGCTTCATTTTATCTAGTATATTTAAATTGTATTTTATTCGTTTTTTATTTCGACTGTTTCTCCAAAAAGTAAATTATCCAAGAAGACGGCACTCTTTATCACTTCAAATTAAATTTATGAACAAAGATATTTGCGAAATTCAAATTATTACCACAGATTTAAATTTCTTGATCATACCAAATTCCTTGAATGTATTCATATGTACAGCAAAATATAAAACAATTCAACAACATTACCATTAGGTTAACTTACTTGTTTTCAATTTAAAGGAGTACTCTTCAATCCAAAAGAGAGTGTTTGTTGTAATAATACTCTACATAACAAGGAGGACAGTGTGTGCTGTGGGAACAAACTTTACAAAGCCCCGGCTTATCCCTTCGTCTGTTGCGGAGGAACGATCTACAACACGACACAAGGCAAGATTTCTAATGATTTCATCTTTAGCAGTGTAATAAACCCTTTTCTAACTGTTTTGATTTTTAAAAAAAATAACATTAATGATTATGAAAACATAATTTTCTCTCAGCTGATAATAAGAATATAAAAGAATGGGTTATGACAATAAAAAACACCCCTTTTCAAATTTGAATTTTTTGACAGTCTTGATTAAAATGAATGTTTTTATGAATCCTCTTACAGCTTTTGGATGTTGTGGAGATACAGAAATGTTCGATTCGAGTTCTAAAATATGCTGTGAATATGGCGGGAAATTTAAAATTGCTCCATCGCAGAACAGAGATTGTTGTCATGAAAAGGATTACGATTTTACAAAGGAGCAGTGTTTAGATGGCCGTGTTATTGGCGTTGATCAGCACATTTGCGGCACAGAGACGTATAACACATCACAGAAGACCTGCTGTGACGATACATTACACGACACTCCTCCCTACCCATCGGACTGTTGTGGGAGTCATTTGTATAATAAAATTGACCAGAAGTGTTGTAGAGGGCCAAGGATTCCTGTTCCGAGTAATCAGGAGTGTTGTGGCAAAGGTAAGTGAAACACTGGAAAATATATATTGTATTTGATGGACGATTTTGTAATATCATAATAATAACGATATCTTAAACTTTTCAATTTACACACTCTTCCGTTAACTCAGTAGCTATAATTTACAAAAAAGGTAGTAAACTGCGTAAAAACTGATGTTTGAATTGAATTTATTTTAGGTCATATAAATCCAGATACTCATATGTGTTGCAATAATGTTGGTCACTCAAAGGTTCAGAACACAAATTGTTGTGGAATAGACAGAATCAATGAACTGGTGGAGGGGTGCTGTGGAGCGAAATCGTACAATCTGTCTACCCAAAGGTGTTATAGTAAGTTCCCAAAATGTCAATATCCCTTACTCATGTAGCAATATATCCTTATCATCTGCATGATGGGTTTATATCTCAATTGATTCGATACGCAAGAACTTGTTCTACGTATGGACGATTTCTAAAAGGAGATGTTTTTGACAAACAAGTTGCTGAAACAAGAATATCAACAGTCTCGTTTTAAGTTGTCATTTTGCAAGTTTTATGGTCGATACAATGACCTTGTCAGCAAATGCAATCTATCAGTCTTTTTTATATTTTTGTACAATAAAGACAGAATCTACCAGAAGGTCTGTCACACTTGCTTATTTTTACTTTTAGGGGATGAAGACATTATAAATCTGAGACAGGCTGATCATTCTTACCCCGGTATGACAACTGCTCTTATGTCTCGCTTTTGTTTCATTTCAGAAAAGAGGGAATATTTCTGCTTAAAATGCGCTTTAAAATCTTCTATATAAATTAAATTAAATTCTAAAAGAATGAAGAAAAGAATACTTGAAAATATTTTTTAGATAATGAAGATAAGAAAGATGTATTAGGAGAAAAGTCATCTCCTCGCTTTAGTCTTTGCCGAGCTTGTGCACGGAACTACAGATTGTTTTCAAAGCGCATCAAGTCTGGAAAGGAAGATGTCTGCAAGAAACACAGTAAACCCCCCTCTCTCTCTCTCTCTCTCTCTCTCTCTCTCTCTGCCACACACAAACAACTCACACACTATCTGATAATGTTGAATGTCCTGTCTTTATATGTATCAATCAATCAATCTTTTTCAGTAATTAAAACATTGTTTGAAATTTTTTAAAATCTTTTTGGACTGAGAAAATGACAGTTTTGTATTTTATGAGCTAAAATTATGAAAATTTATGAAATGGCGTTTTTTGAATTAATCGCATTAAACGTGGTATCACCTATACAAACAGATAATATTTATTTTCATTCGTATGTCGATTCGGTGTATCCCAGGTAACTTGAAATAAAAGACATTACAGAGTGTTTCATATCTAGATGTTTTACTGACTATATTTCTACGATAAAGGCCAATTAACAACTTAATTATGTAACAAACGAGATGACCAGATTTTCCATCGACAACTTCCCTTATTTATATCTAGTGATAGTTTATTATCACCTGCTTATGGATTTTTTGTCTCCAAACGTATTCGGTTCTTTAGAGCTTGCTCTGGGTTTGTTTGATTTTTAAAGCGAGGCAGGCTATTCGCTGATAAGTTGATGTTATAGGGAGTTAGCAGATACCACTTAATTAATAGATGTGTCGAAGCATTTATTGCCAAAACGGTCCCTCATATAAATTCTGAAATTGTTGGGTGGAGGTAAATACTTACTATGCAAAATTTACAACATGTTAATTAAATTTTGCATTAAATTCATTCGAGTAAATTCAAAATTTGCAACATGATTTATATACCAATTTGCTTTTTTATAGCATTCAAGACAGTATTGCGGTCAGTGTCGCGTGTGGGAAGATTTTGGACTATGCAGGTCCGACTTACAAAGAACAGGAGGATAATAAATGATGTTCAGTTAATTATTCCTTGCAAGTGTTCACAACTTAATGTAACAGCGGGTTCTGAGTTCTTGCTACTAACTGACAGTGAAGTGGCATTGAATACGCTACGTTTGGGAGACAGTGACCTGTTTCTACCTTTCCATTACAGTCTTGCGAAAACCGTAGAGGAGAAGCAACGAAAATGTTGGACATCTGATTTCACGTTCTTTGTCAGGGAGATTAAAAGAAGAGCTAGAAAATTTGTTAATACTTTTATAAACAAACTTGTACATGCATGATACTAGTAGTTTTGATAATTTAAAGGTTGTATCAGGTTATTAGGTGTACAGAGTCATTTTTTAATGAAGGAAAAACTATTTGTTCGAGAAGAAATTAAGATGGTTATTTCTATCTGATTACTTCCTATTTTATGTATTCAACAGGAAAGTGTACACTGTATTTGCTGAAGAGATACCCGGTTGTGTTATCTACATCTAATATGCGTTGATGTACATGTCATTGAAAATGAGATTTTACACAATAAACCCACAATCTTTTTTTTTTTTTTTTTGATATTTTCTTTTCTATTTATTGTTTTCTTTACGCATCCAATATATCTGTAAAATTGTCTAGATTGTTTCTTACCAACAGAGTGTGTAAACAGCGAGTCGAACAGTCGAAGTTAATGTGTACACTGTAATATTGCTTACAAGTACCACACCTATTTTGGCATGTCAAACGTTGCAATACCGGTATTCCATCTTTTCCATTTGCAGTTCTTAATTGTGATATGGCAAAATTCACAAAAATGGGCTAAACATAGTTTTACAGTCAATAAACTAGGTTTATCGGTTGTAAACTATAGTTTACGGACTGTAAACTATAGTTAACAACGTTAATCTATATTTTACATCTGTAAACCATAGTTAACGCGGTAATCTATATTTCAGAACCGTAAACTATACTTAACACTGAAAACAATCATTTGCGATTGCAAAACATAGATTATCTAATAAATACAGTTTCACGATTTGTAAACTATGGTTTACAACTCTTAACTGTAGTTAACAATCTGATAAATAGAGTTTCACGATTTGTGAAACTATGATTGACAACTCTAAACTATAATTAACGATTGCAAATTATAGTTTAACTTATAGTTTACAGACGTGAATCTATGTTTATCAACAAAATCTATTGTTTACGTTTTATTACAGACAGATAAACTTAGATTAGCCGCTATAGCGTTCGTAAACTATAGTTAACACCCGTTAAATATAGTTTTACAGATGAAAACATAAGTTAACGAATTGTTAACTATAGTTCACGGTTTGTAAACTATGGTTTACAGTCGATGAACCTAGTTTATCAACTGTGAAACTGTGTTTAGCTCATTTTTTGTGAATTTGGCGTTCCATAGCGAGATGTTCAAAGCAAAAATAATTTTAGAAATTATTACTTCAGAAAATATTGATTATGTTAATAATCAAAGTTTATTACCTAAAATAATCTATCTAGAAATTTACAGGTTTTTTCTATAAATAAATTCCCTCAAAGATCCCACATACAAGAATCGCGTGATTTATCTAACCAATCAGATCAGTTTGCAGTCTTCGAGGTTTCAGCAGTTGTGTTTACATACAGTAAAGATTTGTTTACATACAGTAAAGATTTGTTTATACCTCCACCTCCCCATCCACCAACCATTTGCTTGAGTAATAGACATGCAAAAAGGGTTCATGATGTTATTTGACTGTGTTCATTATGTTTATCCTAATATTTTGTGTGATTTGTGTTGGCATATTACTTCATGGTATGTTTACCATTTCATTTTTCCCAAGCATGGGATATTGTACATGTACGTATATCATTCAGCAGCATTGTTGAGTACTTATGTTGTGACAATTATCAAATATTGCATCCTGAGCAAGCCTAGCTCTACTTAGGTAGGATTACTCTGCTCTTTACACAGGTGATAGTGAACTTAGCTCAAATAGGCAAACCTACTTTGCCCTCAACCTTCATGAATCGGGTGCTAGTGAGCATGTCTCACGTTAGTGGAAATAGCGTATATGGCACGCCAAATTCACAAAAATGAGCAAAACATAGTTTCACAATCGATAAACTAGGTTTATCAGTTGTAAACTATAGTTTACGGACTGTAAACTATAGTTAACAACGTTAATCTATATTTTACATCTGTAAATCATAGTTAACGCGATAATCTATGTTTCACAACCGTAAACTATACTTAACACCAAAAACAATCATTTGCGATAACATTGCAAAACATAGATTATCTGATAAATACAGTTTCACGATTTGTACACTATGGTTTACAACTCTTAACTATAGTTAACGATCGCAAATTATAGTTTCCAAACGTGAATCTATGTTTATCAACAAAATCTATTGTTAACGTTTTATTACAGACAGATAAACTAAGATTAGCATTCGTAAACTATAGTTAACAACCGTTAAATATAGTTTTACAGATGAAAACTACAATTAACGAATTGTAAACTATAGTTCACGGTTTGTAAACTAATGTTTACAGTCGATAAACCTAGTTTATCAATTGTGAAACTAGGTTTAGCACGCCAAATTCACAAAAATGAGCTGATCATAGTTTCACAGTCGATAAACTAGGTTTATCGGTTGTAAACTATAGTTTACGGACTGTTAAATATAGTTAACAACGTTAATCTATATTTTACATCTGTAAATCATAGTTAACGCGATAATCTATGTTTCACAACCGTAAACTATACTTAACACAAAAAACAATCATTTGCGATTGCAAAACATAGATTATCTGATAAATACAGTTTTACGATTTGTAAACTATGGTTTAAACTCTTAACTATAGTTAACGATTGTAAATTATAGTTTCCAAACGTGAATCTATGTTTATCAACAAAATCTATAGTTAACGCTTTATTACAGACAGATAAACTTAGATTAGCATTCGTAAATTATAGTTAACAACCGTTAAATATAGTTTTACAGACGAAAACTATACTTAACGAATCGTTAACTATAGTTTACAGTCGATAAACCTAGTTTATCAATTGTGAAACTAGAATTAGCTCATTTTTTGTGAATTTGGCGTGCCATACATATATAGCCAAACCTACTTTGCCCTCAGCCTTCATGTATCAGGTGCTAGTGAGCATGTTTCATGTAAGCAAGTTTTACTTGCTCTCAGCTTGTTGCTCATCCAATTCCACAAAGTAAGTTCTATCTTATTAAGTCGTAACTTGAGTCTTCTTTTTAATGCTGCTGATACTAGTAAATACTTAGATCACTTTTTGTTAAATTACAAAGCTGCATGAGCCCTGTAGGCAAGATTTAAAGTTAGATTAATAAAAGATGAAACTTGATAAATAACTTCTTTGTTGTTTTGGGGTAATAAAATAAATTATTTGACCTTTACTTGGTACCTATCACCCCCTCTCAACCCACTCACCCAATATCGTCAACTTCCCTTACTTATGCAATTATGCAATTAAATATGGAACTTTTTACAATTAAAAAATGGAAAATTATTCAATGTAAAGGGAAAATATCAAATATTGCAAAGTTTGACATACCACTGGCACACCTATAGACAGTACCGACCGGACCCAACCTGACACCCAAGTAGTCCCAGAAAACAGTCCCCGGGGCTGCTTTGGCACCACTGTGGGACTGTTCTGGGACCGGTGTAGGACTTCTCTAGAAAGCAGACCCAGCAGTCCCTGGGACTGCTTTGTTCACTCATGCATGAAAATGGTTATGAGTGGCATGATAGTTCCGCTCCTTGTGCATTCTGAATTTGCAGGCTCTCTGTTGTTTTGTTTATTTTCAGCAAAGAGGTTTTTAAAATGTTGAAAAACAAGGATTTCTTACAAATATTTAATAAGTAGAGATTATTTTACTTACCTAATGTCTTCAGGAGATTAAATTTACACAAATGTAGTCTATAATCAATTTCTAAAAAATTAAATAAGATTAAAAAGGGAAGTCAGGGGATGATTTTTATCCCTTAAATAAAACTACAGAATTAAAATATATGTATATCTAGGCCTATTTAAATAATTAATGCTGTAAAATTATTTAGAACTCAGTTTGCATTGCACTATTTAAAAAAAAAACCCTTTTCATTACAGTAAGATTTAAGATTTTTTTAATTGAAAAATGTAAATTAATACAAGTACCATGTGTTAAAGGGCATTGTATGCAGTCTTCAAATAAAACCTAACAATTTATCAAATGACCATGAAATAAAATTACGCTACCATTCTTCTGTCACATAAACAATATGAACACTTATTGGGGGATTTGTTAATGATTTAGTTTTCATTATTTATAAACAAGTTATTAAAAGAGTACATTTATTCATTTTTTAAATAAACATTTGGAAGAATCGGTAATTTTGACTTATTTCTTATTTGTTTTGCTTGTGTTTACCTGGCCGATCAATGTGTAAAAAATAGTGTCAACATGTGAGGTTTCAATCGCCTTGGGACAAGATTAGCAGGAAGTCAGTACATGTTATTTGGGTTCATGAATCAGTATTACACATCGTCAACAATGACAATAATTTCAATCTATATGAATGCAAAAAATATTATATTATATGATACAATAATCATATGTATAATTTTTTTTCGTGATTTATGAATTTCTAATATAATCTGAGAGTTATATCCTCGTGATTTATGGGTGTACACTCGAATGTTTATAAAATAAAACACTTAAAACTTATAGTAATATTGTTTTTTATTACATAGAGAAACTAACGATAAATAAATTGGCATATCAGTGAAAATAATGACTAAAAAATAATTAACTTCAAGTTTTTTTCCCCAAAGATCTAATACTTAAAGCTGACATGAACTCTTAAAAAGCCATCATTTTTCATCTTTGTACGACTTACTACATTCCTGTACGCCTTTGTCCGCCATATTTCTTCGATTCCGCCATATTTAATTGAAAATTTTTGGCAACCTGTACCTGCTATATATAGCCTTGTACGATTGCTTCACTTCAGTGATTTTCTATGACTGTCGACATATACACATCTCCGATAGCATAGTTTTAAGACATACCATAACACTGACCAAATACATGTTTGAAAAGTAAAAATTCAACAAAAAATAGAACTATACCGAGAATTAAATTATTTTTGAATGCATTTGCTGCAATATAGAAAATAAACTAACATGGAATACATACATGTACATCAAACACCCATGCAGGTCGGGAAAACGCGTCAAACGCAGTGATAAAAACATTTACCTGACTACTGCTATCGTTACAGGGATGTGCACATGTCGAAAGAATTATCCTATTTTACTTTTATTGAAAAATGCATCTCAGAAGTCATGTAATCCATTGCTAACTCAACAGTAAAAGATGCTTGGACACACGTGGCCCATGCCGATCATTTTATTTGGTCAGGGAAAATATCAAAGGTTGAAAGCTCAGTGGGGTTGATTGAAAAAAAAATGCAAGTAATTTTTCAAAAATAAACATTACTCTTGTCTGTACATGTTGTAAAAAAAAATTACGATTAAGTACATGGTTTAACTTCATCAAATTCATTTTTAAAAAAAAGCAGGCATTATTACGAATCATTTAACTTTTGAAGATACTTTCCCGTGATATGAGGGGAGGGGGGATGTAATAAAACATGCATAACACTTTCATAAAAATAATGTAAGAAAAAGGTCTGAAACAGATTGGATTTCTTTATGATCAATTATTATCAAATAAATATTGTGTATTGCCTTTATTAGACCTAATATAATTTGATTTAAAGTTATTTATAATTTTATGCACTATGAAAGAAAAAGTGAGCACGTTCACATACCCCACGCTCCCCCAAAAGTCGAAGTAGTGCTGAAATTCCCAGAAAAAAAATAAAGGAATCGTAATTTCCTTGTAATATGCACATCTATACACATTGTGTCCTAAATATCTGCAAAGTTTGACGAAATTGTGTGCAGCGGTTTATGAGGAGTTGCGCTGACAAACTGCTCACCTCTATATTCAAGATATGGCCAAAATCTAAATGTAAAAGTGCGGAAATTCCCGAAAAATAAAGAATTCGGAATTTCCTGGTGATGTGCAAATCTACACACACATTGTCTCCTATAAATATCTGCAAAGTTCGACAAAACTCTGTACAGTGGTTTATGAGAAGTTGCGCTGACCAAAAAAAAAAAAAAAAAAAAAAGACTGACTGACGGGTCAAAAACATTATACCTCACGCGTGGGGTATAATAAACGAGTTTGATTCTTTGGTACAATGATAATGAAAATAGAATTTAATGTGAATCAAATTTTTAGACATAAATAAGTAATGATTATTAGAAAAAGCATATAGGAAGAGTAAACTCCTCGTGAAAATTCCACATTCTACCTAAAACTAGCTTTTTAAAAATTCTCTTGTCTGTTGTCCAAGTTCGACACATACGTTTGAGAAGGTATTCGAGAAAGTTCCCAGTGTTTCCATTCCTGTGATTTATATTTCACGTTTATTATATCCCCCGCCTGAAAAGTGGGAGGTAATCGTTATGTCCGTTCGTCTGTCTGTTACGCTTTGGGGTACCCATCTCTTATCCGCAAATCCTCTTACACCACTTAGAGAAATTTAATGAAACTTTCAAAGAATCTTAAGTTTATTAGAGATTACCATTATGCACCTCCTATTTCACTTTTTGATCTGACACGTATGGGTTTAGCTAAATATGGACTTTGCCATTATGACCATATGGGAGGCAGGGGGTATCATTTAGTGAGTTCATTGTTCATAATACATGTACGTCTAGTTTCTCTTTCAATTTGGGCGTTTGGGTTAATTTCCTGTCCAAAGTAAAATTATTATTCAATTTATGAAGTTTCGACATCCCGCCTGAAAAAAAATCCTTGATCTGTCCTAAGGCATAATAAATGGTACAGCACAAAGTGCGTAGGATTTTATACCTATCATTGCCCCAACGGGTGGTTACAGAGAGAGAGAGAGAGAGAGAGAGAGTTCAATATACAAAAGAATAAATAATAATTATCCGTATTCAACCAGTGTCAAGTATCCCTACCCTAGCTTTTAAAATTATCTCCCAAATTCACCTACAGAAATTATTTATATATATAAAAAAAATACCTAGACTATCAGGCAGGGATACTGAAATCTCGAAATACTTCCTGTAACAACATAATTATAAAACAGTTACATTCCTCAAAATGCACATACTTTGTGGTCGGAGTGACACATTTTAAAAAATCTCAAAACTGAATTCGGCAGAAATGTTTGTCTTCCAAGAATATTTAAATAACGGTCATGTCAATTATTTTTGTATGCCCCCCCCTCCCCCGTCCAAAAAATCAAATGCCTAAATGTCAATCTGAACAGGGGATGGCCTTTCTCCGAGTGTGTATGTGTTAAAGAATGTATAGATGTACACATAAAAATTTGTATTCTGGTTAATTGCTTTTAAGATTTGAAGTAAATTATAGCCGTACATCAAATTACTTTGTTTAGATTTGAGATTAGTACTAAAATAATCAGTTATAATTGACAAATGAATTTTGCGACGCAAACCAACTGCAGACTATATACATGACTTTGTCTAGAATGTATATTAGAACTACATGTAGATAAACAATTCACAGTTTTAGCTTAATAATATGAACATCAGTTATAATATCCCCCCCCTTTCAGCCGCGCAAATACCAAATAACTTCTCTTTCCACTGTTGATATTTTCCCTGACCAAAATCTGATCAGCACGGACTAAGTGAATCGTCGTGCTAGTGTGTACGGAGTAATGATAGTGTGTTTACTGTTGAGCTTTTATGGAGTTTATTTCTTTTTTGTGATGCATATTTCAATAAATGGAATTCAGGGTGTATTTCACTTGACTTGTGCACATCTTCGAACCGATGCAGTAACCTTATTATCAGGTATGGGTACGTTTACAGCGTTCGATGCGTTTTCTCGATATGCATCAATTGCATAGGACCTGCAAATCAAAGACGTTGGTTGTTTTGTTCCATTCAAATGATATAATTTCAAAATGTGTTTGCAAATTTTACTGCTTTTCATTTCAAGTTTATTCTGCATAAATTGGTGCACTGTAAAAATACGTACTCACGCATCTAAATTTCTCTTCCAAATTTGCATTTTTTCTCTTTTGATTCAAATCAATAATCATTCAAAACTATGATTATTATGTTGTTTATTTTGTTTTTGAAATGTCTTGATCACCTCATGTGTTCTCATATGCTTTACCATCGGAGATGTGCACAAGTCGATACCCAATCCAAAAAATCATTCAAGTGTAACGAGCGCATTGGGGTATACATCGTTACAATGAGACAAGGTATCTGAAAGAAATATGGCGGAATACGGCTATAGTTGGTATGAAACAAGTCGTACATAGATGAAAATGTTGCGTATTTAAGAATTCATGTCAGCTTTAATGTAAAATTTTAAAACATGCGTCCAACTCTAAGGTCAAGGTCGAAAGTTCAAAATTGTTGGTATCCAAAGGAAGGTCTTGTCAAAAGAATTAAATACACATGTAAAATATGAAACCCTAGTGTTGATTGCTCAGAAATTATGGTAAAGATTAAAATTTGGTGTTTTTTGTTAGATGTCAAATTTTCAAATTTACACACGGTACAGAGGTCTACACACCTGTGAAATATGAAGGCCATACGTACGTAGCCCGATGCACCCAAAGTTATGTTTGCGAACAAACAGACAGACAGACGGACAGGGTAAAACTATATACCCCAAATCTTCTTTTTGGGGGCATAAAAATGTGCATATGTGAAAAGAAATCACTGTTATTTACTTAAATTGGAAAAATTAGTGAATTTAATACGAATCACTCGATGTACGAGTCAATTTGTTTTTCAAAGTTTTGATACTTCCGGTTGTACGCACATTTTAAAGTTTCAAGTTTCATTCTTTTATCCTTATTTTTCCAGCTGAAGAAGTATTACATTAAAAATAAAATGCAAGGTAAACAGTTTTACACCCAAGAAATATATTGACTAATCAATTACTTCATTTTATAGTTTGATCTTCTTTCTGAATTGCTTAGAAAAATTGAGCAGCGATGCGAAACAAGTTGTCACTGACCGCTGAAATCAGTGTATCTGTTGATATCTGTCGTAAACTTAACCTGCTGATATGCCAGCCTCTTTTGGCCATTAAAAAGTATGTGAAAATTTTCTAAAGTACATCCAGTCCTCAGTTGTATATTAAAATTTGATTATAAATATTGATATAGCAAATGATACAGTAACCCAGTGTTTTCTAACTTTTCTTTAGTTAACGGTATTATATTTTGTTTATGTGGAACTGATTAAAAATTATTAAACAAATTTTATATATCATTTGCAGCTAAACAATGAGAGGGAGATTCCTTGAGTGAAGAGACATGGCAGATGTTATGAAGCCTTTGCCAGAACCTACAAATGGTGTGGACACTGTTACAAATGCTGGAGACCAAGTTCAGTCTGTTGACGCTACAGAAGAAAGAGAGAATGAATTGACTGATAATGATGAGGACACTAAATCAAATACTGAAGATGTCAACAATGACGGTGTAGGAAATGTTGAACCTGATACACCTGGCAAAGATGAAACTGACGGAGATGCAGTTGTAGGGAAAAAGCACAATGAAGATGATTTAAACTCAGAAAATGGAGAGAGTAGAAAGAATGAAGATGATACATCTTTTGAAGATAAAGACAAAATTTCAAATGTAGATGAATCTGTCAATGACAAGGATAACACAACTTGTGATGAAGACGTAACTGGGACAGAAACACAAACAGAAGAGGAGGAGGAAGAAGAGGAGGGGATTGAAATTAATGAGAATGACATCGTCAAGGCAACTGATGTCTTTGGAAAGGGAAAGCGTCAACATGTGAAAAAAGTGGATGGAGAATATACTGACGATTTTGAAACTGCAGACTCGACTCCACAGAGACAAAGTACTTTTTATTGCTGATCCTGAGTTTTAACTTATAAACAAATTTGCTAGAAAAAAATCTAGATTTCGCAGGTCAAGATTAAAAATGAATTGATAAATTAACTTATCTGAGCATCTATCTTCTGTTCAAATTCATATCTCTTACCTTATAGAGAGAAGGAAGATAAGACAACAAATCATACTTTATTCCAAAACATATATTATGAAATAAAAGATCATTTTAGTCTGACCAGTTGGACTGGCAGATTTCAGAAACTCAGATTTGTTTCTTTGATTAAAAAAATTGTTAGCTCTGATGAGATTTAGAGGCATTGGACTAGAGAGTAAACTAGAATTTTGCATATTTCTTACAATGATCATATGTTTAAAGGTCACACAATTAATTCATAATTTTATTGATGTATTCTGATTCTGTATGTCATGATAGAGAGAAATGTATTTCTTTTTGAAAATGTTTTGCAGCAAATAGAAAGGCTAGCATGATGACAGAGGAGCAAAGAGAACTTTTACTGAAACCATTTAAAGAAGGTAAGAATTATACAAAGGCAGTCATCATACAAAAACCAAGGAGAGATTTTTCTGATGTTAAAACAAATTTTACCATATTTAGGCTGGAGGAGAGAAGTTGTGTTCCGGAGTACATACACCCCTGTCACCAAGCACGGAGCAATGAAGTCTATTCCAGCCGATGTATATTACCATCCTCCAGAGGGAAGGAAATTAGTAAGGACAATATTATATGACTGTAAATCTTCTGTTTCATTTTGTAATTTTTGAATTTGATGCTTTACTTCTACAAATATCCTGTGAATAATGATTACATGAAAACATTGAAAATTGAATAATGAGATTTGTTAGTACCATACTGGTCCATAAGATTTTTTACTTGTCAGATTTCAAAAATCAAATTAATAAATGTTATTTCAGTCTTTATGCAGATCCACTATTTTAGTGTAAAATTTATTATTTAAATTCACTTCAACTACCTTTGTTGGATTTGTTAGTATGACTGTGACAGTGTGTTTCTTTAAATTTTAATATATATTTGATAAATACCAAATCAATTACTTGTACAATACATGTGTAAACATTCCCTACCAATATATCAATCCTTTTTATTCTTCTTTTACAGAGATCAATGGTTGACATAACTAAATATTGTAAGTATATTCTTTACATACATGTATTCAGTTAGCATGAAAAATAAATGAAAATTCATGTAAAATTAATTTTTTATATGAAATTCTTTTGATTTCAGTGGTTATGACCAATTCAGATTTGACCATAGACAATTTTTCATTTCTACGCAAACCGATCTTGGAGCCTCCTTTTGAGGTTGTTCGATCCTCAGGGTCAGTAGGTCGAGGGAATTTTGGGTCACCAAAAACACCAAGACTGCACAGAGAGTCTAAGCCACAGGTTGTTATAGAGCGGGATGGAGAGGAAAAGGAACTCTCAGTTGGAGGGCCCATTAGGATTAGTCAGGTCAGAATTCTAGAGTAAGCCCTATTGTGGGGAACTTGTTTGTGAATTGTTAACTTGTCTCTTTTAATTTACTTGAGCAAATGAAATTATAAAATCCAGCAGCAGATTTTAAGACCAAAAAATTGGAGATAGCCCGTATCCTGCAATCATGTAATTACTTTTAACTACCAATACACTTTGCAAAGTTCCCTTTATTTGAGCCTAAAATGCAATTATGGCATTATATATTTTATGAATATATTAGCAAACTTGAAAATAGACAAATTCTAATTCTTCTATTAGATTAATCAAGTCAACAAAAATTTTTGAAATAAATCAGAATTTATTTTTATGGATATGTAAATAATCTTTAGAAAAAAAAATATATTTTTTAAGCAGACTGGATTTATAAAGAGGAAAAGAGGAAGACCACCAAGTGGAATTAACAAAAATTTAATGCCACGAACAGGAATACCTCGTAAAAGGGGGAGACCACCCAGTACAAAGAGAGTAGAGATTATCAAATTATCCAGTGGGGATTCGGAGATTCCCAAAGTGGAGTCAACTGACTCGTCCTCTCCCAGTGAGCCCTCCCCCAAACGGTCCAAACCCACAGCAAGGAAGAGTACAACGCAAGGTGTACCAAAGCCATTCAAGCCAGCTAAACAGCTAGAAAGGTATGGCATTCGGCAAACTCAACTTTTACACTTTAGTAATATAACATTTGCATTTTTATATGTTCATTAAACATGTGGCATGGTTTTAAGAATATTTGCCACATACAGATAGAGGTTTATTTGCATATGTGAAATTGCCCTTTAAATCTGTGCATGATAAATTTGTTTGTGCTAAGATTTTACCGACAGGTTTTAAAAGAAAAATGCAGTTATAGTTTATACATGTACAAGGTTTTACAATCGTATTAGGCCATATAAAATTGAAATCTTGATTCTCAGGCCCGCGCGCATCCGTTTTGAGGTAGCCGCATTGCCGATTTTATTGTATTTTTGATAAAATAAAAAGTTGGTATTGCGGAGACCAATCCGGGAAAAAAATTTCCGACCTCATTTGTTTCTTAGTTTAGTATTCAAATATCACTTCTGATAGTCATTTACAATGAGATTTTGGCTACTTCGTTTGAAAATACATTCGAGGACATTACCTATGATGTTTACACGCTGTTAAGCAATGGATAAAGCAGAAATTTTGACCAGAAATGGAAAGTATATCTGTGATTAAAAAAATTATCTTTATGTTAAAGAAAATTCGGAAATTAAAATTAAAAAAAATACCTCCCTCATCTACTTGATTGCCAATAAAATGAAAAATAAAATGCCGTCCTCCCGCATCTGTTTTGGAGAAAATTGGCCTGAGAACCAGGGGATTAAATTTAGATTGCCTTAGATAGGAGGTTTTAATCTGCATAATGACAGAATAATTTTGTTTTACAGTCCTGAAAGTTTGGAGGAACTGTGTAACTTGAATTGCCCCGGGAGGAACTTGGTGCCCCCCTCTCTGCAGTGTCTTGTCTGTCTCTGTCTGTTCCATCCAGAGTGTGTCAACACAGACCCAGATATCGAGGACTTTGTCTGTCTGGTCAGTATGCCATTGTCTGGTCAACAGTCCAAGATTAATCCATTCTTATACATTAATATACTGAAATTTTATTTACTGTGTGATCTTTAGAATTTCATGTCAATTTGTGGACTCTGTAATATATATAGAAGATGAGCACCATCTTTTATACCCAGTTGGCAAAAATTAATAGACAAAGAATACATGTGGATTTTGTGCATTTCATTCTTGTATGTAATTGTAAAACTGTTTATAAAAATATTGTCTTCATGTTCACTTTTATATAAAAGATATTTTGTTAATGTGAACTTGGTTTTATATTTATTACTACAGAGGTGTGTTACGGGATCTGCAGCTGTGCAAAAACCAAAGCCAAAGACACTCAAACTGATCCCAATAACAATGCAGAACATCAACGGTAAACCCATCACAGCCAACATTCCAGTGATCAAATCCATTAACACTACCAGATTAACCCCAGAAATCCCTGTTTCCTCCAATTCCGTAACCACTACAAATACAGTCACAGTAAAGCAAGAGCCCATGGATACAGAAGAATATGGTCAAACAAAGGGGAAAAATACTGTCAGTTCGACAACCATGGGCACTCTGAAGAGTGTACTGGATAAGCGATCTGTTATTGTGACCACTACCCCCATGCCTGTATTGCTGAATTCTTTCAGTGGATCACAAGCAAGCCTAGCCTTTAATGGAAGTAGTCCTCAGATAAACGTCTCTAGTAGTAATACAGTAGTTTCTCCGAACCCTGCAGCATTTACAGCAATACCAAATCTGCCCATCTTTAATCCATTAAATGCACCAAATTTATTAAGTCAAATTCAGGTATCTCCTAACATTGTCAACCAGCCAACAGCTTTTTCATCTACGAAAATAAGTTATTCCCTACCGAGCGTATCTCCCGTCACTCAGCCCCCGCCCCCAAAACTGACTGCGGCTCCCACGCCCAAATCTAGCCCTGGCCCCGGCGGCATTGAAATCACCCAGACATCGAAGAATGGCCAGTTATTGACCCTACCTAGTGCTGTGGCAAAAAGACTGAATCTCAAGCAGCCTTTGGCACTGAAAATAAACAATATGCAAATTACTGTTCCCCCTTCCTGTCTTCTAGTGACAGCCGATGGACTTAAGGTGTTCTTGCCCCCTAAAACATTTCCTGTTCAACTTGGGGAAACAGCAAAATTGTGTGTTACAGTAACAAATGACAAATCATCATCTCCTAACACAAAGATTAGTGTAAATATTGGTAGCTCTACTCCGAAAGAAAAAAATGATTCTCCAGATTCTAAGAAAGGCCGTTCACAAAGGCATTGGAAGGCGGGAATCAACCCAGCTAACTGTCAAATCAAAAAGTTATATGGGGGATTTGACTGTATGCTCTGCATATTTCAGTATCTCAACATGCATGATTTGGCAAGGTAAGATCTAGTCATACATTTACTAGGCCATTCAAATGGAATAAACATACAATTTATCAACATTTATGCATACATGTATTTTTTTTTCAATTAGAGTAAGTTTGGTTTGTCCAACTTGGAGAGCTTTGGCAAAGAGCCCCATGCTTGTAAGTTAACACCAACAACTTATTAAAATTTGACATGTAATTGCAAGAAAAGTAGAAAAAATATCAAGAAATGGCAGTGGTAGTATATTTGTTTGGCAGTTTTAAGACTAATGTAATTTCTTTAACATCCTCTTGTTGGTCGAATGTTCATGTACCAGTTGTAAATTTTAAGATGATCATCAATGTAAAGTTAGTTAAGTCACTGTTTTGTGCACTTGAATGTTAATAGTAAATTGCTTATTATCTATAAATAGTGGCATGAGGTAAAACTCAGGAATGTAAGAGTGGCGGACTGGAAAAAGGCTGTCAGGTTTCTCCTCCAAAGGGCCGTTCATACTTTGGTAATTAACTATTGTGTTTTTAAAATATGTGTGTGTTTTGACTTTTTGCTAGCAGTTTTAGGCTGACTTTGTTACAAACTCAGTTTGATATTTAGTTATTAGGAAATAATTACAAGAATTGTTTTTATTTTGCATACAATAAATAATGTGTTTGTATTCTTATCTGATAAGATTATGAATACATGATGGTATTTCTTTTTTATCACTACTTTAATGATGGAGAGATCATAAAAATTCTTTTGACATTAACTCTGGAGAGGGTTTATAGCCTGCTGCTTGATTCCTTTTAGTGTATAACAGTAACATTGTGATATACACATGCATTTTAAACTAAATGCCTGTTAAAATTTTAGAATCTACGAGGCCTGGAACATTATGAGAGTCGGAATCACACTTGGCACCAGTTTCTGTCTGTGGTTCCTCAGCTAACCTGTATACAGAACATTCACTTTGGCCTGGTTCCCGGCTCTGTTTTACAGCACGTCTGTGAGAAGATGCCTCATCTTGAAGTCTTCACAGCGGAGTGGATCAGTGACTATGATGATGACCAGAAATGGTAAACAAACAGGAAAAAATAAAACAGTGCTATTCTCTCCTGTGCTGCAATCAGTTTTGTATATAAGAATTTTGTGTGTATTCTTTTAGAATTTGACCTTTTATTGATTTATGATTACAAAATAAACAGTAAAAACTAGAGAATTTATAACTGATTTGCAGTTCTGGTTTCAAATTTTACTGTATTTTACAGGGACCATGTTACTAAACTTAATATAGGAAAGTTTAGCTCCTTGCCAAATCTAACAGAACTAAAGCTTCGAGGAGTGGTTGGGTTAGCTTTGCCATCATTTACCCTAAGTGGAGGGCTTGATGATCTCTCCTCTTTGAAACATCTGAGAAAGCTGGTATGATAATGTTCACCTAATGTTGATATCCCCCCCCCCCCCCCATGAAGAGGGCATATTGCTTTGCTGATGTCTGTCGGTCCACCATCAGTTTCCATTCATTTTCTTCCCAAAGGTTGCACTTATTGATTAAATTTGGTATACAGATTTTTCAAATGAATATCTAGGTCAAGTTTTGTTTTATTGCTTTGCCCCTTGGACTTAAAAAAAAATTCCAATAATTTGCAGTTTCCATTCATTTACTTCACAAAGGTTGCACATATTGAAATAAAATTTGGTCCTGTATACACCTTTATCATAAAAATATCTAGATCAAATTCTGTTTTGGTTGCAATCAAGTCATTTTGGGTAGAGTAATACCCCTTGGACATAGAAAAATTCCATAGAAAAATTCCAATTATTGGTTGCCTTATGTAAAACATGAAATTTGGTATACAGATTTATCATATCTCACTCATTTCTCAATCGATGATTTTCATCTAGGTCAAGTTGTCAAAAATTTCAAAAAGTCACTTCTGGTTTTGAGTTATTACCCTTGAAACAAAAATTTATAGGCTTTCGTTTCCAGACAAAGGCTCAGAGACGGCTAAAGCTGGAGCAGAAAGTATACTGATTTTAGATAATAGAAGGATCATTTTGTTTTTCAATTTCTCTTTCAAAATGGCACATATAGAAAAATTCCAATGATTGCTTTTTATCTTCTAAACTGAAAGTATTTTGTTGAAATATATAGGGTGCAAAATTAAGTGATTTACAAACATCTCTTGTTTTCATAAAGTTGTTGAACTTTTGTTCAATGTCATCAAAATAAAAGAAACCGGAAGAAAAAAACCGTTTTTGACATGTTTTGTATTTCTAAGCATGAAACTTAATTTTCCGTCCGTCGACGTCACTTCCGGTCAAACAGGAAGTAACACAAATTCTTGTTTTCATAGAAAGATTTAAATCATGACGTCATTTCTCTTTTTTTAAAAAACAAAAGTTACTTGCAAATCTTAATAATGAACTTTTGTTCAATGTATATGTATTTCTAGTAATATTCTTATTATGAATGATTATCATGTCTCAAAAAATGGGCAAATCTTTTATATTTTTGGTAATCTTTAACAATAAAAATATAAATGATACTATTTTTAGCATACACATGTAGTTCATTTTATTATAGGCAAATAATTGATTTCAAAATCCCTTTTAAAATATGTTGACATATGCATTAAATCTGTAAAATGGTCATCCAAAATACTGAAGTACATATATAACAATGTTGACTACAAATTACAGTTATTGCATATATGCATCTAAACCTAAATGCATTAGATTGTAATTTTATTGCTATTGAATGTTCATAAATAATTCCTGAATCCTTTGACAATCTTGTCCTAAGGTTTTACATTAATGACTGGTTGACCTTTGTTTTACAGTCTTTGACCACCTTGACCAATGTTGAGGAGGCTGAGTTTGCTTTTCTAGAGAAGATGGAGCAGCTGGAATGCCTGGAGCTGGGAGATTGTCCAAGATGGACATCCAAGGTATGCTAAACCTCATTATTAAAGTGTTCTGTTGAGGAAAAAGCAACAGTTTTATAACTATATGCATCAATGTTGGTTTTAACTGGTTGGTGGTGACAATGTACTTCCAAAGTATGATTTACTTAATACAGATGTCAGTCTAAATGATTTTCCTGTTTTCAAGTGTTAATTAAAAGGGAAGATTTAAATGGGAGCATATTTATGAAATTACTTGTATTTACCCTTGACTTATTTGAGTGGATGGCCAGTGCAGCTAGTCGAAGGGCGCAGGACACCAGTGTCATTGATTGTGTCTACACTTATTTAAAGGGAGTGAGCTTCTGATCAAAAGCTCTACAGATTATTTAGGTTTATTGTTAAACAAATTTGACCAATTGCATTTTGTGTGTTGTTACTTTATGTATGTTAAAACCTATCCATTTTTGTCACATTACAGACATACTCTTTGTTATCAAATCTGAAGAATTTGAGGATCCTTCGGCTGGAGAATGGTGGAGACATAGAGAGTGATGAGGGATTAGGAGAGGCACTCAGCCAGATCAAAAGGTATGAAAAGGATAGGTAACTGAGGAGCCTTTACACATATATACTGTAAAATCATGTATTTTTGTGGGGTCAAATTTTCATAGTTTGAGGAAAAAATGTTGGTTCGTGGGAATTTGATTTCATGGATGAAGAACTTTTTAGCTCACCTGAGCCAAAGGCTCAAGTGAGCTTTTCTGATCACAATTTGTCCGTTGTCTGTCGTTGTCGTCGTTGTCGTAAACTTTTTACATTTTCATCTTCTTCTCAAGAACCACTGGGCCAATTTCAACCAAACTTGCTACAAAGTATCCTGGGGTAAAGGGGATTCAAGTTTGTTCAAATGAAGGGCCACGCCCTTTTCCAAGGGGAGATAATCATGAATTAGAGAAAAAATAATGGCATTCTTAAAAAATCTTCTTCTCAAGAACCACTGGGCCAGGAAAGATGAAACTCACATGGAATCATTCTCAGGTAGTATAGATTCAAGTTTGTTCAAATCATGTGTGTAGGGTGGGGCCAAAATGGCCGATCAAAGTTTTACATAGGAATACATAGAAAAAATCTTTTAAAATCTTCTTCTCAAGAACCACTGGGCCAGGAAAGATGAAACTTATGTGGAAGCATCCTCAAGTAGTGTAGATTCAAGTTTGTTCAAATCACTGACCCCCGGGGGTAGGTTGGGGCCAAAATGGCCGATCAAAGTTTTACATAGGAATATATAGGAAAAATCTTTAAAAATCTTCTTCTCAAACACCACTCGGCCAGGAAAGATGAAACTTATGTGGAATCATCCTCAGGTAGTATAGATTCAAGTTTGTTCAAATCATGACCCCCGGAGGGGGGGGGGGGCCAAAATGGCCGATCAAAGTTTTACATAGGAATTAATGGGAAATCTTCTTCTCAAGAACCACTGGGCCAGAAAAAATGAAACTCATGTGGAACCATCCTCAGGTAGTATAGATTCAAGTTTGTTCAAACCATGACCCCCAGGGGTAGGGTGGGGCCAAAATGGCCGATCAAAGTTTTACATACATGTAGGAATATATAGGAAAATCTTTAAAATCTTTAAAAATCTTCTTCTCAAGAATCACTGGGCCAGGAAAGATGAAACTCATGTGGAATCATCCTCAGGTAATGTAGATTCAAATCATGACCCCCTGGGGGGTTAAAATTCAAGCCCCCCTCCCCCCAATAAACTTTCAGTTCTGATCTGATATGTGCTTTTTCCTAGCCAATTGCTCAGGTGAGCGATGTGGCCCCTGGGCCTCTTGTTAGAAGTTGTGCATATACGGTAAATATATTTCATTGGAACAGAATTTTTAAATGTTATATAGTCTTGTTTAACTGGTGTTTCAGGTATCCGAACGCTTCACATATCAGGAGAAATTGACTAGGAACCAAACTTTGCCCAATTTTAAATTCACTCAGTCACAATTCTGTTCAAAAAATTATATAACATTTCTTAACATGCCTTGTTTTCAATTTGTCCACCTGTGAGTAGGGCGAAAGGGGCGGAAATTTCCTTGTATACAGTATATGTAAAGTAGGGACTTTTTAGCTCACCTGAGCCAAAGGCTCAAGTGAGCTTTTCTGATCAAAATTTGTCCGTTGTCTGTCGTTGTCGTCGTCGTCGTTGTCGTCGGCGTTGTCGTTGTAAACTTTTCACATTTTCATCTTCTTCTCAAGAACCACTGGGCCAATTTCAACCAAACTTGCTACAAAGTATCCTGGGGTGAAGGGGATTCAAGTTTGTTCAAATGAAGGGCCACGCCCTTTTCCAAGGGGAGATAATCATGAATTAGAGAAAAAATAATGGCATTATTAAAAAATCTTCTTCTCAAGAACCACTGGGCCAGGAAAGATGAAACTCATGTGGAATCATCTTCAGGTAGTTTAGATTCAAGTTTGTTCAAATCATGACCCCCGGGGGTAGGGTGGGGCCAAAATGGCCGATCAAAGTTTTACATAGGAATATATAGGAAAAATCTTTAAAAATCTTCTTCTCAAGAACCACTGGGCCAGGAAAGATGAAACTCATGTGGAATCATCCTCAGATAGTGTAGATTCAAGTTTGTTCAAATCATGACCCCCGGGGGTAGGGTGGGGCCAAAATGGCCGATCAAAGTTTTACATAGAAATATATAGGAAAAATCTTTAAAAACCTTCTTCTCAAGAACCACTGGGCCAGGAAAGATGAAACTCATGTGGAATCATCCTCATGTAGTGTAGATTCAAGTTTGTTCAAATCATGACCCCCGGGGGTAGGGTGGTGCCAAAATGGCCGATCAAAGTTTTACATAGGAATATATAGGAAAAATCTTTAAAAATCTTCTTCTCAAGAACCACTGGGCCAGGAAAGATGAAACTCATGTGGAATCATCCTCATGTAGTGTAGATTCAAGTTTGTTCAAATCATGACCCCCGGGGGTAGGGTGGTGCCAAAATGGCCGACCCAAGTTTTACATAGGAATATATAGGAAAAATCTTTAAAAATCTTCTTCTCAAGTACCACTGGGCCAGGAAAGATGAAACTCATGTGGAATCATCCTCATGTATTGTAGATTCAAGTTTGTTCAAATCATGACCCCCGGGGGTAGGGTGGTGCCAAAATGGCCGATCAAAGTTTTACATAGGAATATATAGAAAAAATCTTTAAAAATCTTCTTCTCAAGTACCACGGGGCCAGGAAAGATGAAACTCATGTGGAATCAACCTCATGTAGTGTAGATTCAAATTTGTTCAAATCATGACCCCCGGGGGTAGGGTGGGGCCAAAATGGCCGATCAAAGTTTTACATAGGAATATATAGGAAAAATCTTTAAAAATCTTCTTCTCAAGAACCACTGGGCCAGGAAAGATGAAACTCATGTGGAATCATCCTCATGTAGTGTAGATTCAAGTTTGTTCAAATCAAGACCCCCTGGAGAGTTGAAGTTCAAGCACCCCCCCCCCCCCACCCCCACCCCCAGTAAACTTTCAGTTCTGATCTGATATGTACTATGTACTTTTTCCTAGCCAATTGCTCAGGTGAGCGATGTGGCCCCTGGGCCTCTTGTTTAACAAAGTGATATGAAATACAGAAATGTACACTACCTGTATGTTGCTGACTTTAAGCTTCTGTTTGTAGTTTAGAGAGGCTAGAGCTGATTATGTTTGTGTTACCAGAGAATGTCAAAGGACTGGACCACCTCAAAACCCTGGTGATCTGGCCCAATACTCAGAAAACCTCACCGGTGAGTACAATTTTTCTGATGTACAGATGTATATTTAGAGGGTTAGGAAGATCATAGTCATTTCTGTCAATGCATGTTCAGACTTTGAATAACATGTATACAAGGCCCCACTTTTTAGCTCACATCAACAAAGATGAAGGACCTTTTGTAACAACTTTGGATGATAAACACTAACATTGAATATCATTTTTACAATGGATAGAAATGCTATTATGGCCTAATTACATGTAAATTTAAACTATTTGAAATTCATCTTGAAATTTTCTTGATTGCATATTATCCATCAGTAAAAAATATATTAAATACACACTTTACCAACAACTGTAAAAAAAAAGAAAATGTATACCTGTTACCAATATAAGTCTTCCTTGATCTGATTAGCCTTATTATGAATTTTTTAACTTTTCTTATAAACAATGTCTAGGAAGCTAAGTTTATTAAGGTATTATCATATATCAGTGTATGAGAACATGAAGAAGCAGTGCATAGCATATGAAATTATGATTGCTGCTAAAATAATTATGTACTTCTTCAATGGTTTGCTTACTGAATGTTCTTTGTATTTTTACACTGTAGATACCAGGAAAGGTGAATTCTAATATGATGAAGGTCGTGTCAGGACTGAAACAGCTGGAGAAGTTAGAGTGGGGCATTATGAACAATTCCAGTACTTCTATTATACTCGATAATGAATCATCAAACACAGAGTGGATACCATTCCTTCCAAACGTAGAGGAGACCAGTTCAGACAGCAGTTCTACGGCTGAGTACATATCTGTCATCCAGTTCACATCCAATCTTACAAAAGCTCTCCCAAATACAAGAATCAAAGTATACAACTCCAGTGTTATTCAGCAAGAGTCAGAGATTTAGTTCTCAATGTACATGTATACCATTGGGCTACAATTTAACATAACAACATAACCGATGAGAGGCAAGAAGAGCCCACCTGAGGTCTGTGACAGGGAGCTGAAGTCTGCTTTTTTGGGGGTGGGGGATACAACATGGATATTTGAGATATTCCATTTCTCTTTATTGTTTAAGAGTATAAGATGTGATACCATTCATGGATGTGAGAGTTTCGTTGAGATTTAGTGCTAGGGGAAATATGAGTGATTCAATTATATGTTTTTGCACACATGACATTAATTTACAGTCAGCATTTTCTTTGAAAATGGTAGGATTGAATTTCTATTTTAAAAAATATTCACATGAATGTACATTGCAATTGATTGTTCATAGTTGTAAAATTGTGTTTCCATAAGATTTACTTTGAAATTTTTGCTGAAATTGTAATTTTATTAACTTTGCTTCTGATAGATTTAATGAAAATCAAATTAAAATCAGTTACATGTATTACACTGTGATGAAAAGAAAAATGCTGTTTTGCCATGCAGGTTTTGTTTCATTTTCCCCCACATGTTCAAAAGATTCTCAACATTTTTTTACATATAAATCTGAAATTATAAGCATGTTACTGGACAAATGACATGAACAAGCTACAAATACTTATTTAAGATTTTTTTTATCTTTGTTGAAAAAAAGTCTCCTTAATATATATATTGTTTCATATTTTATTGTACATATTTGCATGCATCATGGTTATAGTTTAATAGTATTTTTCTCATTTTTTAGAAAAAAAATAAATTGATCAATATTATCCTTGCTTTCAGTTCTTTATAGTGATTGTTGGTCATAACTCAGTATAATTGGTTGGTGTTCTTAAGTTGTATTAACAGCTTCAAAGTTGATTATCTAGATGTCCTCAACAAAGTCCTCCCCCGAGTTCAGTCCATAGTGGAGTTTTCCAGCCTTTATCCAGGCCCATGCCATGCGTTCTGTGGTGAAATGTTTCCCTATATCCCCACCCTTACTGACTGCCACCACCCCACCAGAGCCCTGTACACGCCTGTTCATCTTCTGAAGGGCGGCCTCGGATGCCTCTTGTGCTGACATACCTATATATTCAATGAAAATTCATCATTGTATACAGCAATAAGCATACATGAGAGGAAATTTATCAATCACTTATGGGGTAAAATGTAGTAATGATAATAAAAGAAATGAGTATTCACCCTCCTCTATACGATGAGTAACTTCCCTTGCCAGACATACTTTGGTGATGGATTCACCATGGCCTGTTGTCGACACCGCCCCAGAATCATTGTCAGCATATGCTCCAGAACCTGTGAAAATTACACTTCAGTATCATAATCATCAATATTTATAGAAGTCGATCCTTGTCAGTTGAACATACCTACAATTGGACTGTCTCCCACGCGCCCCGGTCGTTTGGCTGTGATGCCACCGGTAGAAGTGGCAGCCGCTGTGTTTCCAAACTTGTCGAGGGCCACCGCGCCCACCGTGTCGTGACCTATTGTGTCACAAACGCTGGAATCCACGGGAGTCTCTTCAGCTCTGAAATTGTCGTGATTGAAGTGCTTACGTTGAATATTTTACATCTGGTAAAGGCATTCACATGTAATACAACCAAAATCTTTAGTTGAAAAAAAAAATAATCGAATGGACAGAGGAGCAGATTGTCAATTGGTAAGGATAAGCTTATTGTTGATTACACATTTACAATGTACAGAGAAAGAAAAAAGAAAGTGCACAAAATGCACGGTATAATTCTACCCACTCGTGTGTTGATGCCAAAAAATCTGACAACTAAAAGAAGAACAGACCCATTCCTAAAGTTCTGCATATATATTTATATACATGTATTTTCAGTATTTAGCTCGATTTATTGTCAGTGGGAAATTTCGTGTATATGCGATATATGCCCCCCCCCCCCCCCCCCCCCCCGGTTTCGACGCCTATGTTAATTTCAATGACTTCAAAAATATATGTAAAGGGATTGTAAAAAGTTATTTTCGTAGATTCATTCATGTGTAAGATTTTTTTTTAATGAACCTGTTTCTGAACAGCGCGTTGACGGTAGTTTTGAATTTCATGAAATGGCGCCATTCCTCGCGCGCATCTTCTGTTACTAGGCTGTCTGTGGGTACTGTATGTATTCCTATCTCCTCGGCAAACTCATTGGCGCCTTGTCCAACCAGGAGGGTGTGGTCCGTCTAGGAGAGAATTAAAAATATATCAGCTCTAAACCAGTTTGATACATATTAATTTCCTACTAATTGATAGTCACACTAGTATTCAAAGTATTTGTCAGAAGTTGACTAGAAGTGAATTTACTTTCTCCATAACGGCCCTGGCGAGAGATACGGGGTTCTTTATATTTTGAACACAAGCAACAGAACCACACTGAAGCTGTCGTCCATCCATAATCACCGAATCCATCTCAACTTCTCCCTTAGTATTCAAAACCGATCCTGTACCTTGAGAATTATATAAAGTTAGTATAGTAGGTTGACTTGATTCTCTTGGATCAGTTATACATACACATCTTAATGATCTTATACCATTCAATTCTTGAAGTGGAATTTCAGGGATAGGTCATAGGCGTCGGAACCGGGGGGTTAGTGCGGCTTAGCCCTCCCCCGGGCGTCGGAAGCAATTTGAAAGGGGGGCTAATCGAAAGGGGGGCTAAAACAACAAAAAAGGTAAATCCCAATTTTCAATACCTATATAAGGTCTATTTTTGCAAAATTGAAAATTTTACTTTTTTTTGTTGGTTTAGCCCTCCCACTTTCAATTTGCTTCCGACGCCTATGTAGGTGGATAATTTATTTCCATAGTGGAGGACAGATTATTTACCCCAAGGAAATTGAGGTAAGAGTTTTTAAATTTTTCTTCATCAAAAAGATTTGACAATTAAACCAAACAAGCTCTATAATATTATTGCGATGGAGGGAAAGAGACTTTTTGCCCCCCCCCCCAAACAGTGACACACGCGCGCGCACTAAATCGGCGATCTCTTTGTGCGGGATTTAAATTTTAATTGATTTGAAAAAAGCAAATAACGTTTTTAACTTTTTCAATGCTTGTCATTTTCGAAAAATTTCCTTGTGTCAGATGTCGCCAATAAATGAAGAATATTTTTAAAACGAATTAAGAGTTATAGATTGGGGGACTACATGTAGTAACAGATTCGGAATTTTGAATTTTATTAGATTGGATTTTTCCATTATATAGATTTGACAGAGATCTACTAAAACCTGCGTCAAAGGCCGGACAGTCCTCCATGACCAGGACAGCTGCTTCCACTGCGTCCACGGCGGTCCCCCCTCTTTTCAGGACCCCATACCCAGCACGTGCCGCCGAGCAGACGCCGTCGACACTAGCAGACGACAGTTTGTCCGGAATAGCCCAAGCTCCACCATGGATTACCACAATGGGTTCACAGGTCGAGAGATTGGCCATTCTGTATCCTGTATTTTCTGGAATAAATTCTTCAAAGTTATTCAATTCAAAATATTATTTTAAACTCATAAGCCATAAGGGTTAATGAAATAAGAACAGATTGGTTATAATTAAATGTTAATTAAATACATACCTAACTGTACCTACTAGTATATAGCGTCTAGTCCGATATTTTATAAACTAGGTCATCAAGCTTAGGCCAAGTTAAATAAATGTCCTGTTTATTTTTTGCAACTAAACAATCATAAAAAGATTCCTGAGGATATTGTGAGTACAGATGTACTAGACTCGGGAAGAGCATGATGAGGCTTAGGTCGACATCAATTAAGTCTCGTGGTTCTCGGGAGAAGTTTAATTACCGACTCGTCGTACTACTCTAGTACTACCCACTCCTTTATGGGAATAAAACCTGGAAAAAAAGACTTGTTTGTAAAACACTGGTGCCCCCGTATGGCAAGTTATAGCGGAGGCTAAACTTTCTCAAATGCAAATCAAATTTGTTGGTACCCAAAAGTAAAGTCTTCCCTCAAAAAATATTCATGTGAAATATGACGGCTTTACCACCCTTTCCTGTCCAAAATACACATTAGATTTACCGGTAATTAATAAATCAAATTTTGTTGGTGTGTCTGTATTCTACGGAAGCCCATTTAGGACCTATCAAAAATATTTATAAATTCGATAAAACGAATTGTCGACTTTGATCCACCGGTGGCAATTAATGGAAATTATACATTACTGCTCTCATAATGGTTCAAAATATCTGCCGTTTTCCAGGTTTTTTCCAAAATTTTGATTTCCTTACACGTAAAATGTCCCCCCCCCCCTAAAAAAAAAAGGAACACGTCAGATACATGTATTTCGAAATACACTGTACTCTCATTATTGATAGAAATATCATTTCAGTTCGATATGAATTGAAAAGTATTTGATTTGATGCAGGCATCAATTCAATAAATCTCCGTGAAATTAGTCTAGACTAAAAATAATTTGGACTGCAATTGGAGAGAACTCGGTTCAAAATTGTTGTCTCAACGATTTCGTGGAGCAATTTTCACATGTGTATTTTTGTGACAAGACATTTCTTTGGGTACCATCTTTGACCTTTTGACATTGACTCATAGTTTGACCCACTTTTAGACAAAAAATTCCAAATTTTACTTTCATATTTCACATATGTGTTCTTTGTGGCAAGACCTTTCATTGGATACCAACAACCTTGACCTTCAAGATTTCCATACTTTTTGAAAATTTTTAAAATTTGCATAACTTTTGAACGGTAAGGGCTAGGGCTTTCATACTTCAGATATGTAATCCTTTTGAGAAGACCCTTCATTGGATACCAAGAACTTTGACCTTGACCTACTTTTACAAACCTCAACCATAATTTTTGAAGGGTTAGGTCTTTCATACCTCACACATACATTTAATCCTTGTGACAAGACTAAACTTTAAATTTGGCCATAACATTTAAATGGTTAGGATGAGGGCTTTCATATTTCACATATGTAGTCCTTGTAACATTAGACCTTTCTTAAGAAACCAACAACTTTGACCCTTTGACCTTGGAGTTTGACTACCTTTCAAAAACTTATCCTTGGTCATAATTTTAACAGTTGGTGCTGGGGCTTTCATATTTCACAACTGTATTTCTTGTGAGAAAACCCTACTTATGGTACCAATATATTTAATTTGCATTTAAGAAAAGTTTTATCTTTGCTATGTTGCCATACGGAGGCATCAGTGTTTCACAAACACATTTTGTTGAAAAGAAAAGGAATATTGATTTGAAAGAATATGTTTTAATACAAAATGACCAGTAATTTCATACAATAATATGTACAATTTAATGATTTTTATTTAGTGTAAGATAATAATAGGCCCTATGGTTAGGAGATTTTTAAAATCTCATCCAGTCACTGTTTCAGTCTTTTAGCCTGAGGGACATTTGGTTCCGAATCAACAGGATCGACATCTTCATCTTCTTCATCATCATCACTCATATCTTCGTCATCAGCTGATTCTGAAATGAATAAAGGAAAAGTAACAACGGCACAGACAAAGTAAGAAATCAGGCTGATGATAAACAGTGTCTTACCATTCTGTTTAGATCCATTGTTTACATTCGTAACATTTCTTTCCTCCTCAACCAGCGTTGTAAGGTACACGTTAACTTCATTTTGTAAAGCTACACAATTTTTATGTAAAATATTTAAGCATTCTGTTGAGTTATTTGAATCACATGATTTACTAAATCGTTTTGTTTCGCCTGTTTTTAGCGTCACTATAAAATTCAATGTTGTCTCACTCATGTCTATTTTCACTTTCTATTTTTGGTTTAGTAATATGAGTAAGTCGTACAAATAGTTTGAATGTTTTGGCAATTAATTTTTCAATTACTTTGGTTAAATGGGGACTTTGGCATGTAAGCTATATCTTATAGTTTATCATATAATCTATAAAATAATTTCAATTGAAAAAAACATTCATAAAGTATAAAAATAATAAATATTTATAAAATCGAAAGAATGATCGAACGCATTGTAAGCAGAAAGTGAAAGTACAATCAGACGAGTCTTGCCTGTACAAATCTTTGTTGACGTTGATATCTGATATCCTAGTACACAAATGGTTCTGGGTAATTTCTTACAATTTTTCAAATATATACTTTTGATCTGTATAGCCAGTAGAATTAGTGACACTTATAAACCCAAAGAAATTGTCAATTTGAGGGGAATTAGGATTCACGCTCATTACATGAAGTTAGAGATGAGTGACAAGGAGAAGAAAAAGTTAAGATATGCTTTGGACATCGTCACAAGAAAAGTATCATCCATCCTTAAGGGTTCGTATTGCATCATAATTATAAAATAAATTCAAAACTAAAGAAATTTTTCAAGACTACGTCAACCCAGTTTTATGATTTTTGGTCGAAAACTGCAAAATTTCAGATACCCAGTGTTTTCCCTTTATTTCAAAGTAAAAGATTAGAGATTAGTTGTAACTTTGAGCTGAGAACGAGGTTTATGAACAAAATCTCTTTGGACCTTACAACATTTTTTTAAATTTCAAATTAAGCAACATTTTTGTCAAGCAATGCGGTCAATTTGGCCGGTTGCTGAGTCATAGGGAAAACACTGGATATCATATGATAATTGTGTTCTTATTTTATAAATTACATTGTTGTTTGTAGTTATACCAATAGAGGGACCATTGCTGTTGAAAAGAAAGGGCGGATGTTTCAAAAAATGGACACAAGGCAGAAATATAGATAAGTATGCAATAAAATCAATTTTAATATAATTGATTTCTATTTGATAGAGCATTCCCTGTTAGCTCTTTAACCACCGAGGTAATGAGACCAAAATTGGCAATTAACTAAATGATGAACATGCACATACCTGTAAACCCAGTGACATATTTATTATACCCCAGCTTGAAAAGTGGGAGGGTACTGTATACAGGGAAATTTTCATCCCCGTTTAATTTTCGCCCCTTTCGCCCTCGTCGGAAGTGGGCGAATTTAAAATAGCCGAATTCAAAGTAAACAGTATAATATCTGAATCAAAAATCTTTCTGGGCGAATTTAAAACGGGGAAAACTTGTTTCAGAACCTGAAAGGGTGAAAATAACACGGGGCAAAAATAACCCTGTATACAGTATATAGTGATCGGGTGTCGGTCCATCCATTCATCTCCATGTACTTGTACGTTTGTCCAATCTTTTACACTTTGGGGTACCCATCTCTCATCTGCAACTCCTTCTCTCACAGAATGAAATTTAATGAGACTTTCACAGAATGTTTGTTACATAGTGCCCTTGTGACCTCATCTTTAATTTGTCATGAATCTAACACTACCACACATACAACTGTAAAAATTTTACATGAATAACTAAATTTTATCATTTAACAATTTTGATTGAGTGATTCAGAAATATTATTAGTTATGTGTTTTTTTCCAAATGACTAAGTACTTGTACTATTATAATTTGTTTCATAATTCCATGATTTTTGTATAGATGCAGATTTTATGACAGAAAATATCCTGCCGTTGGAGAGCTATGTTCAAATGAAATTGAGGTAAGCACATTACATCTGTACTATCAAACTTCATTGTTTCAAACTTGATGGGAGCAAAAAATAACTCAGTTTAACTGAGCTCAAGGGTTTAAGTTAAGTACAGTGGAGCCTCATTTATCCGGACTCTTTGGTTCCTAGTCAATTTGTCCGGATATGTGAAGCGACCGGATACCTGAATCACCAGTTAAACAAGAGTTACAAGACAATATAACATTTACAAATTACGCCCCGGATATCTGAGGGTCCACTGTATATGTCACTTTGCCCAAGAATTAACTAGTGTTAATTGTAACGGGGACCATTACAGATGTTCCCCAGACGCTCCTCAACTCCATTTTTGTGCCTAATTCCTGTAAGACATTTTTGAAATATGATCAGTATTGACAGATTTCATCAAAGAATTATTAAAGCTACAATGATATAAACTATATATCATTTAATGCATTGTACGCGCTAGCACGTGCATGCACATGCAAGATGATCATGGCATGTTGTTTAAACTATTAACATATCTATATTTTGTAAGAATCAATAAAAAATCTGTAAAAAATACATGCTACTGTTTTTCAAATATATTGGTCATTTTGCGTATTTCACGAGCGCACTTACATACATGCATGTTCATGCATTCAATTTTGATAGTACCATAATGTAGGAATAAATTATACCTAATAATATTCTAAATTTCATCTCGTTTTGTTGAAAACGAAGAAAGTTATAGGCATTCAAAGTTTCAGCCAATCAGATTGTAGCACACATGCATGCACATGCTTTCATGATAATTCTTATATATCATGCTGTTAATCTTCATAATGTATAAGCATGTTGAACATTTCAAAGGATTCTGTCGAAAAACGAGAAAGATATTGATCGAGACTTTAATTTCAGCCAATCAGAGAGAAGCGCACGTGCATGCGCGTGAGATCTTGCTATTTTGACCATGTCCTCTTGTCTATGGAGTTTCAAAGCATTTCATTAAAAAAATTAAAAGTTACGTCTATATCAATTATATTGAACATTTCTCATGTTGCATGTGCGCGCTCTTGGAAGCACATGTGCATGCACATGCTTTCAAGATAATTTTTATATATCAGGCTGTAGATCTCCCTAATGTATGACTAAGTTAAAAATTTCCTACAATTCTGTCGAACAACAAGAAAGATATTGAGACTTTAGTTTCAGCCAATCAGAGTGAAGCGCACGTACATGCGCATGAGATCTTGCTATTTTGACCATATCATCTTGTCTATGCTACTAATATATCCTTATATTATGAGTCTCAAAGTATTTCATCAAGAATTGAAAAAGTTACCTCTATATCAATTATATTGATCATTTCTCGTGTTGCACGTGCGCGCTCTTGCAAACATGTGCACGCAAAATGACCTTGGTTCCACAAATCTACATAACATGCCTAGTGACCCTAAAAAGGATTCACCTTAATCAAATGTGTAGTTTAAAAGATCACTTGCGGAAAAGATTTTCTTAGGAAAAAGAAAAATGAAGTATTTAATCCAAAAGTGTTAAAATACGCTCATTCAAGTGTAATTTTTATTTAACTCATTTCACGTGCACGCACGTGCATACATGCATGAGCATGGGGATCATATCTTCTTGCAGAAATCCATTACATCTATCTGTGTTCTAAATCCGACCCCGTTTGGTTGAAAACCAAGGGAGTTATAGCTGTTTAAAGTTTCAGCCAATCAGATTGCAGCGCACGTACACGCACGTGTATGCATGTGCATGTTGACCACACCTTCTTGTAGAAGTCCATTATATCTATCTATGTTCCAAATCCCATCCTGTTTGGTTGAAAACCAAGGGAGTTATAGCTATTTAAAGTTTGAGCCAATCAGATTGCAGCGCATGTGCATGCACGTGTTTTCATAATAATTGTTATATATCATGTTGTAGGATATCCTAATGCATGGCTATGTTCAAAAGGATGTATTCACTTTAACAAAAGAATTGACCTATAGGAGAGAACAATTTCCCTGAAAAAGTGACATTTAAAAATTAATCTTTATTTTTTGTTTTCTAATGTATATATATCTAAATTTTTGAAATTTATATTTTATACCTAAAATTTATTATTTACAACTTTACAATAAACCTCCAAAGTTGACCGAAACACCATTTTGTCCGTAAAAGCGTCGATCTTTGCATGAATTTTGGCCTTAAAGTCCTTCAGGGCAGGCCTGCCCCTAAATAAAATTGTGGTATTTTGATAGGTTAAGTTGTAAGGAATAATTTAAGATAAGATTTTTTAGGGGCACCCCTGCCCTGGGGTCGAAATTAACAAAAAACCTACAAAAAATAAGGAAACCTGATTTTCATAATCTGCTTTAAATTTATGCCAAACATATTTAAAGTCTGACTAGCTCATTTGATATATATGCTGACTTTTACACCTTGGATACTTTCTTTTTAAAGTCGGGAGTTCGAATCCACCTGGTACAACACTTTTGAAGTTTTGAATTTCGCCTTTTCAAAGACTATTTTAATTTTTTTCAAAGACTTGTGTATTTTTCCTTCAATTATCTATCCTTTATGCATACCCATTCTTGATATAAGAAACACTAAAGAGATATCAAATCGTAACTATCCAATGTACAGTTTTCAGTCAGGGAACGAACCTCAGTATAAGCACACTTTCTCCGAGGACAAGAATAACTCACTATGTGTTACTCAATACAGGTATTCTTGGCAGCATTAAGCTGCAATGAATTTCAATTGTATATATTCCTTAGAATTTAATCACATTGATTTTGGCTACATATTTCAGTAAATGCACTCCCTTGGATTTCATTTAGGCCTATATAATTTGCACACATTAATGACATGTTTTTTTTATATCCACGGATAAATAGCATAGACATTAATAATAGAATTTCAGAGACAGTAGACATTATCTTTATGCACAAAAGAAGTAAAGAAGTAAAGACAAATATCAATTATTACATTTGGAGATAACAAACTCAGAAAATCAATGAAATGGTTGATCCTACCACTACTCACTGACATAAAGATTTAGGAAAAACAAATTGTTATATGTATTCAGCCTAATGTCATTAATTGGAACAGAAATCGACAAGCTTTTTGTAGAGAAAAAAACCAAGCCCAGTCCTATAGGTCAGATCCCTATTTATAATGAAGTGATCCTTTCAGAGGATTTCGTCAAAAAACAAGAAAGATATTGAGACTTTAGTTTCAGCCAATCAGAGCGAAGCGCACGTGCATGCGCGTGAGATCTTGTTATTTTGACCATGTCTTGTTGTCTATGCTACTAATATATCCTTATATTATGAGTTTCAAAGCATTTCATCAAAAATGTAAAAAATTACGCCTATATTAATTAAATCGGTCATTTCACCTGTTGCACGTGCACGTTCTTGCAAGGTTTTACCTAAGTCAGATGTGTAGTTTACAAGATCACTCCCGGACAAAAAAGTACCCAGGAAGAAGAAGAAGAAGAAGAAAAATAATAATATCTAGATGCGTTCTTGTTGCTGGTGCAACAAGCAGGTCTTCCGACCGATTTTCGTTAGAATTCTATGCTGCGTCATCCCATAAAATTTCAGAATGTATTTTTTTTTTTCATTTACGTTCATTTACAGCAGCCTCTTAACATATATCATGATTATTACAGGTATTCCTCAAAATATCTCAAAAATAGCTTGAAAAAATCGGGAAAATCTTCCATACATGTTAAAAAAGAGAGAAAAGTTATTTGCAACTGAAAAAAGACAAAAACAAAGAAAAAAAATTTCAACTCCCACAGCAGGATTCGAACCCTCGACAGTGGGACAAAGTTTGGTTTGGTCATATCTTTTCAACAGAGGCACGCATAAAGATACTAAATACATACTTAGAGTTCTCATAAGACACACTATAAACCCTGTGAATACTAAAGAAAAATATTGAAAAACAGAAAAGTTGAGAAATGTGACTTTTTGAATTCACTTCCGTTTGCGACCGGAAGTGCCGACCGGAAGTGCCGACGACGAAAAATAAAGGTCGTTCCCCATAATGGAGTTCGATGTTCTATCACCTCAGTGAGTTTCACTTTCATATCTTTAGCCGTTCTCGAGAAAACTCCTGGACAAAATGCCTTTTAAAAAATACAAAAAAAACCCCAAAAATGGAGAACGGAAGTGAATTTTGAAAAAATGAAAAACACGTCTAGAGATATTCTCATGATGCATCTTCCCTGAGAAAATCTTTGAAATCTGTCCACGCATAGCTGAGATATCGGCTGTACTATGAAAAAAGAATAATAATAATAACTAGAAACGAAACTCGTTGCGAGCAACGAGAGGTCTTCCGTCCGATTCAGAAAAAAACAACGTAAAATCAAACTGAAAAAGTGATTTTAAAAATCGGACACACGGCGGATCGAATCCGGGTCGCCAGCGTGAAAATCCGTTGCGGTACCCATTACACCTTTGGAAACCCGCTTCAAATTTAACATTTGAATATCGCGAGATTGCTTTTTTTTATTCCAACATACATTACATTTTTAAAAAAATTCAGTTTGGAATTGTAAAATGACAGCCAGCTTGCAAAACTTTTGTCAAGATGATCACATCGGAATTTGTAACTTGAATTTTAACAGTAATTTTTAGGATAGATAATCTATTAATGATGAACAGATGATACAGTTTTCTTTCCTTTTTTCGATATGTATTCAACTTTTTCTCCCATGCAACTCCATATACAGGCATGCCAATGTTATATATTTCTGCACTATTGTCGCCATTTGTCTACTACTAAGTCGGGTCATGATGCATTATTTCGTGTCAAACGTCACAAGTAGTTGTTAACGCTATTCCTTTGAAATGTTTGATTTATTTAATGGATGTGATAGCTTCTAATCAATGAAAATTAGAAATGTATGTTCTTATAACCAGAATTTCGAGCGTTAGAAAGTACGAGAATATTTATCACATTATACAAAAATAATTTCGTATACGGCCAAGTAACAATAAAGCTGTGAA